AACGTTAAGAGGAACTAGACTTCACCTCTTACTGTCTTAACGAGTGGACTGTCAAATAATTTGAGCCTACTTTTAAAACTAACAAAGTGGTATACTGTGTTAGAGTTCTCCAGAGAGAGAACTAACAGTATGTTGATAATACTGTGTTGTATAATTGATATTAAAAAAGAAGACACTGTATATGATGATTAATGCATCTTTTCACTGGTCATGGAGTGCCCAGATTAAACATTATTTCTTGACATGTGTGTGAAGCTGTTTATGGATGAGATTAGTATTTGAATCAGTGAACTCAATATAGTAGACTGCCCTCCCTAATGCGAGTGGGCATCAACCTAATTAATGCTTTAATTGAACAAAAGTTGGAGGAAAGACGTGTTTGCCCCTTTTCTTCCTGCCTCACTGTTAGAGCTGAGATAGTTCATGTCATCTTCTCTTACCCTCATGCTGGGATTTACATCGTTGGCTCATATGGTTCTCAGGCCTTTGGACTTGGACTGAATTATACCACCGTAATGCAGCTTGCAGACAGCAGATTGTGGAACGTCTCAGCCTCCATAATCACGTGAGTCAGTTCCTCACAATAAATCTCCTAACAGTAACAACAATCACATTAAATGGGCTAAATAGTCCAGGTAAAATGCAGAGCTTGTTAGCTGGATTTAAAAGGAACATTCAGCTATATGTTGCTTATGGGAAACTCACTTTAAATATAAAGACATAAATAAGTTAAAAGTAAAAGGATTGAAAAAGTTATACCATGCTAATATTGACCCAAAGAAAGCCAAAGAGGCTATGTTAATGCCAGCCAAAGCAAATTACGGAGAAAACAACATTACGTGAGATACAGCATGTCATTCCATAATTGCAAAGGGGTCAGTTTATCAAGAAGGCAGACTAATCCTAAATGTTTTTGCATCCAATAAGAGAGTTTCAAAATATGTGAAGGGAAAGTTGATAGTTGCAAGGAGAAGGAGGTAATTCCATGATTAAATGAGAGATTTCAGTACTTTCCTCTTAATAATTGATAACTTAAATAAACAAGATCTAGAAGAATATGAAAGACCTGAACAACACTATCCATGAAACCAACCTGACTGACAACTTTAGAATATTCTGTCCAAAAGCAACAGACTGCATTTGCTGTTCAGCTGTGCATGGAACATTTACCAAGATCAACCATAAAGCAAGACTCAATCAATTTAAAGGATTTATATTATACAGAGGATGTTCTCATGTCACAGTGAAACCAAATTAGATATTAATAACAGATCTGGAAGATCTCCAAATATTTGAAGCTAAACAACATACTTCTAAATTACCTGTGATTCAAAAAGTAAATCAAAAATAAAATCCAAAATATTTTGACCTGAATGAAAATAAAGTCACTGCTTAACAGAATTTGCTGGATGCCACAAAAGCAGCGAACGTGTTCCTTCTCAAATTCTCATATTGAAGCCCTAATTCCCAATGTGGTAATAAATGGGGGTAGGACTTCTGAGAGGTAATTAGGTCATGAGGGTGGAGCCCTCATGATAGGATTGGTGTCCTTATGAGAAGATACAAGAGAGAAATGATCTCTCTCTTGGCCATGTGAAGATACAGCTAGAAGGTGGCCATCTGCAAACCAGGAAGAGAATTCTCACCAAGAACCTAATTTGTTAGGATCTTGGACATCCTAGCCTCCAAAACTGTGAGAAATAAATATTTATTATTTAAACCACCAGTCTACTGTGTGTGTTTTATCCATGCAAACTGACAAAATAAAATGGCTAAAATCAGAAACACTGCCATACCAAGTGTTAGAGAGAAGGTGGAACTGTCATCCTCTTTCAGTCGATTATTTAAAGTGGCAGAACAACTTTGGAGAACAATTCTGCAGAGTTTCTTAAAATGTTTCATGCACACTTACTATAAGATTCAGATATTCCACTCCTAAGTATCTAAGAGAAATAAAAGGATATATTCATACCAAGACTTCTACACAAATGTTCATAGCAGCTGTACTTGTAATAATCCAAAACTGGAAAAAAAACAAACCTTCATAAATAGGTGAATGCATAAAGACTGTGGTGTATACATAGAGAAGAATACTCAACAGTATAAATGAAGGTGCTGTCAATATATACAACATACTGTCATACTGAGTTAAAAATAGATAGACAGATAATAATACTATATGATTCTAATTATATAGAATTCTAGAAAATGAAAACTGATCTAAAGTGCTAGGAAGGACATCAATCTATGCCTGGGGATAGGATAAAATATATTCTGGGGCAAGCGTGAGAGATTACAAAGGAGCTCAAAGAAACTTGGAGATGATGGTATGCTCATTATTTTGGTGGTGATGAAGGCTTACCCGTGTACCCTGGTTATTCTTTTCATGCACAGTGCTAACATTTTGTTCAGAGCTACCACTATCTGTGGAGGATCAGAGATGACCTTTTTTCCCTGTCTGTAATGACAAAACAACTGTAAAGTCAGCCTTCCAGGTCCACGGGTTCCATTTCCACATATTCAACTAATTGTGGATCAAAAATAAATTTGGGAAAAAAAAATTCCAGGAAGTTCCAAAAAGCAAAATTTGAATTTTTAGTGCACCAGCAACTATTTACATAGCATTTACATTAGGTCTTTAAGTAATCTAGAGATGATTTAAAGTATACCAGAAGTTATATGCAAATACTACACCATTTTATATAAGGGACTTGAGCATCCGTGAATTTACTATCCAGAGGAGTCCTGGAATCAGTCTCCCTCCAGATACGGAGGGGTGACTGCAGTTACAGTACTCTAAATGGCAAATGACTTAGTAGCTAATGTTAAATGTTTATCTGTTGTCACTAACAGAATGTTTTATTTCATATTTTAATGATATTTTACACTAATAGTGAATTTTTTGACATTTGAAACAAGTTAGCTATGAAATTAGAAATTATACACTTGTGTTTGAGTGGAGCAACTTGGATATATTTGGAATGGCTTAAAGTTGTGAAAAACATGTTAAATGAGTGAGTCTAAAGTCTGATTTGCCCAGTGAGAAGAATTCTTTAATAGCTATTCAGTGATAATCACATTCAGAATAATACATTAATGGAGTATTGGGTCTTATTATAATAATTTGGTATTCAAGAATAAAAATGGAATAATTTGATACTTAGAAAGCTATAATAATTTAGTGATTATAGAATACTGATTTTCTATGACTATAACATACCAAAATGTGCCAATAGAATTATTTGTTAATAAGCAAAAATTGATAAAAAGTAATTGGAAATACTTTCCATTAAACACATGTAATGAGTTTTATCCATCCCGTGGAAGTTTTTGTGGTTTTATCTTTTTAGGCAGTATAAAAAAATGTTAATTTTATTATTAAATTTATTTGACATGTCAAAAAAGAGTACTATATAACTGCTCTCAAAATCGTGTTTAGCACTCTGATCTGATGCATTATATGCTTGAGAATCAATCAGCTGTCAACAAGATATTTAAAAAATTAAAAGTAATATAGGTGACTCACAGGTAAAAGCATTTGATCTTTCTTTGGCTATAAAAGGAAGACAGAATGCTAATTCTTCAAGATTGTTAGAATAGGATCTGTTATCATTTAATAGGAAATATAGGTGATATATTTTATGAAAAAGATTCTACATAACAAAATATTTCTTAGTGAACGTCCTTCTGTCTTGGAATCAATTACTAAGATTTTTCTGATAAACTCAAGGCTACTTTGAGGGTTGATTGTCCACCATTCTTCCAAAAAAAAATCAGTATTTTAATAACCAAAGTCATTAGTTTTAAACTGTTTCATAACACCTCCTCATCTGAACTCATCTATTTCTGTTAATTATGTTAACTTCCAGACACACAGTCTTCAAATACAGATTCCTGCCCTCTTTTGTTCATTCTGCCTCCTGTTACTGGCAGCATCATTCAGCCCAGAGTTTCCCTCACTGTGGGTCGCCCATATGCAGCCAGTGCCTCAGTCATCCTGCATCAGACCGCATGACTCCTCGCTCAGAACCATGTAAATGCAGATTTCAGTATCTATAAGATAGTGTCCAAAATTCTCACTGAGATAAAGGCCAAATTATCAAGACCTTTGAAGGGTTCAGATCCCTGGGTAACGGCAGATATATCTCCCACTGATGAAATGATCTCTCTTCTTGTTCCATCTGCTCTCGGGAGGGCTGGTTTCAAGTCTTTTAGCAATTTTGTGAAGGCTCCAGGACACCAGTGGACTTGAATATCCTGGTCTTTCGCTAACATGGCTCCCATCTCTGTGAATTAATGGTATGAATCCCAAAAGGCAATTAGAAGGAGACTGTTTTGCTGCCACCTAATCAGGACTGTCAACATCTTACCTTCAGGGAACAATCTCACAACTCCTTTCCCTAGTTCAGCTCAGCTAGGTCCATATTATCAGATCATTCCTAGTAATATTATTTATAAGATAAGGTTAGTCATAGATATTCATTAGAGCTTACTAAGTATCAGGCACTGGACTTCCTATTTACATAAATTATTTTATTGTATCCTCTTAGTCTTCAAGTGAATTTCAGTTATTATCTTTAAAGAAATAACATTTAGAAACTTTAAGGAACATGTCCAAGATCGCAAATCTAGGTAGTGAGGTACCAAGATAGGAATCTGTGTGTCAAGTTCTAAAGCCCTCCTCTGCCACATTACTTTCTCTCTATATTTCCATCTTGTCATTCAGTTTGTTCCAAAATGCATCAGGGAATATGATGGAAAATATATAAAATATATATATAGCAGTTACTCCCTTAACAACACCAGCAACAAAAACTTTAATGTTTCGATATCACCTGTCTCTTCAGAAAGGTTTACCCCCAGATTACGTTTTATTTAACTATGTAAGATGACAAAGACTAGGAGTGTGCTAATTATAATGATTTCTCACTTTCTCTTACTATTCTTTCATGCTCCCTCTACTTCTCTGAGCATTGGTATGGTTGTGCATTTTCCCCCAGAGTTCTCGAGTCAACTGAATGCTTGAACATGGATCTGGAATTGACTACTTTCCCATTGTTCTTGAAAACAAAGGTGCTTTTGCTGTGAAATGGATATATAAATTCTTCTCAAGAGCCCATCAGGAAAACAATATAGTGTAAGTCTTCCTTAACTAAGGGACAATTGTTCTTTCTTCATTATATTTCTTAAATTCACTTTCTTTTTTTATTTTTCCATGACCGCCATTGTAAGTTTTAATTCTCATCTGTTATCCAGACAATTTCACTGCCTCTTAATTGGTCTTCCATCTTTAGTCTTCCTTCGGTATTTTGTATGTACGACACCAGCCAAGACTTCTTAAACAGTTTATCACACCACCTCCTCTCCCCAGATTTGCATGAGTCCTTATTATCTCCTCCTGGAGGGTAAAGAGCATTTAGCATTTATTTTTCTATCCAGACAAAAAATATAGGAGCATTTCCATGCTTGTCCTTGTACATGTATTTTTTAAATTAACAAATGAATTAATGAATGAGTGAATAAAGTGTCTTATATGGTAAGAACATCACACATCAAGTACATGTGGTACTTAATTTTCAAGTACCATTTTTCAAATACTGTTGTGACTAATTTGAAATCAATTCAAGTCTCCCTAGTGGATAAAATTTGAGTTTATTATGTATTTTCATGCTATGTGGGCACTGTTATAACCTACAATTATGAGATTCACATACCATGAGCACACTTGTGGAGGTTTTAAACTATGCCTACAAATCTTTGTTAAGGATCCCTTGCAAAAGTGGAGCTTAATTCACCTCCTTTTATGAGTGCATTGGACTTTCTGATTTTCTCCTGTTCTAATGAGTAGAATATGGTGAAGGTGATAGTGGGTGACTTCTGAGAAAAGAACATAAAAGGCTTTGTGGTTCCCTCCTTCCTCTGGTAATTCACTCATGTGCCATGCCATGAAGACATTTCTTGGAAAGTACCATGTGGTGGGAAACTGAGCTCTCCAGGCAACAGCCTGTGAGGAGCAGAGGCCACCTGACAACATCCTTGTTGAGTGAGTTTGGAAGCAGATTTCCCAGTGTAGGTAAGCTTTCAGATGACTGCAGCCCCACCCAGTATGTTCACTGCAGTGTCATGAGAGGTCCTAGCACAGAACCATCCAGCTATCTGCTACCTTAAAAAAAAAAAAAAGAACGTGGGAATAATATGAAAATACATGTTTGTTAGTTTAAGCCATTACATTCTGGAATCATTTGTCATATAACAATCGATAATAAAACACTCAGGGCAGATTTTATTTTTAAATGAGTGTGCAGGAGGTATAAGGAGTTATGATCAGAAATAATCTCATATCCTCTCTCTCTCTTTTTCTTTTACATACAGAAGTTAATAACCATTTTGTTGAGAACATAGCAATATTTTCCATGGTGTATTTGGAGTGCAAAGTTAGAAAATATACCTTAGACTTATATCATCATCATTCTTACAAAAAATATTAAAAATAAACTATTGGCAAATAATATTCTTGTATTCAATGACTTTCGTTAAGCCATTAAATAATATATCCCAGCACCTAGGCACTCAGAGACTATATATAGCATTCTGTTTGCCACAGGTATTCCTTCTTTCTTTCCGTAATTTTTATAAAATAAACTAAATTCCAAAATATTTATTCATTATGGATTACATTTTCACCAACAAGACGTGTTTTAGTAGTGCATATGAACTCATAGAATGGCTATTTGATTCATATTATAATTGGTTTGCAAAGCATGTATTCAAGCTCAAATGCTTTTGCTCCCTTTTAAAACTGAGCTTAAATTAGGTATTATATTTTATTTTATATTGTACTAGGTAACAACAAAACAATTTCTTATAATATGGAAACACTTTTATAATTACCACAATAACTTTGTAAAGAGTGAGTAGAGCCATAAAATAAGATGAACTCCTTAGTCAACATGCTATTTTATGTGTTTATTTATAGAAATCGATTTCAATCGTAGTCCCATATTCCAAATACCTTCTTCCAGAATAATAAAACAAGATAACTAAGCTTTTTTTTCAGAAAGGATGCAAATAAAAGGATTTTTACATGCTTTTTCAAAGCTCATTAAATAGAGCAGTGATTTTTTTCATTCTTTTTTTAGACAATTGCATTTATTCACCCTCCTCTTACAGAAATGTGAATCTAACCAATAATATTAAAACACTAATCAGCCTTATGGAGAGAGACAGCTTGTCACTCTTCTCCTTCTGTATCTACATTAATTTGGCTTTAATTTGGTGTGGTTCTTCCATCTATCTAGGAACTGAGGCTTGTAATTTTTTTTCTTTTTTTGACTTGTGAGGGAATTCTAAATGTGTTTGCATGGCAGATAGAAAAGTCGCAAGTTGTATACAGCAAGAAAATACTCAACATTGGTAAAACTCCATCCTGTGTGCTGTAGGGTTACTGTCTCCATGTTTGTTTTATTGTTTTTAATTTGCATATCTTCTGTCTGTCCTTAAATTAGATGCAGGATCCTAATAATTTCACTTGAAACTCAAAGCCCAGATTTTGCTGTGTGAGGAAGTTTCTGAATAAGACATCAAGTTTCTAGCCATCAGAGGATAATTTATTGATACTTGTCAAAAGGAAGTATCAGTCTAACAGAAATCAAGACAAAAGGAATGCCTGATGAATTTTCTTTGAAGTGCCTTTTATAAAAGTCCTTGGTAATGCATATTGATGAACTCCAAATTGTCTTGCCTGAAGGGAAAAGAAAGTAGACTGCTTTACACTGTCTTATAAATATTCATCAAAAGAACAAGACTTATGTTTCCAGGCGTGAGGTGAATGATTACGGCTGTATGATTGCCTTGGAATCTGGATAATTAGTAAAACAGCCGTTGACAGTTAGAGAATTTTAAACTTGGTATCTTGCCGTCACTCCATTTGGAGTCAGAGATAAAGCTTCTTATACCAAAGGGAAGCAGTTTTTAGAGGGTGATGGATTGATACTATCAAATTCTAGCCATCAGTTGCTTCCATTGTTGGCTTATTTATTTGTTTTGCTGAAAATTAAAACAAAAATAATTGGTTTTGTTTTATTTCATTTTTGTTTTATTTATTTATTGCTGGGTAATTCATTTTGGTCTGATGAAACAATACCACTCTTACTAAGAGTGATTTGCTGGGTCTGTGTCTTAATTACAACCTAACACTGTTGAGTAACAGAATGACTCCATTCAAACATCCAGAAAAAGCGTGCTTACTGTCATTTTGCTTACCGAGACCCACTTTGGACTGAGCAATTAACCATGCTCGATTAAAGATCAAATTTGATTAAATTGATATGGAATATTTGATCTTTGGAGGGTAAGTAGTTCATATGAACAATCAGGAAATGCTGTCATTCAAACTGGTTGTAAATTTCTCCTGACCGTTGGTTTTTAAACTGTCCTCTAAATAGTTAGGAGGAAAATATTCCATTCTCAGGAAACATTATCCTTTACAGTGCTTAGCACTTAAATGCAATTAAGCAAATATAATATCTTCCTTGAAGCAAATAGTTGCTTAGCTTAAGTAACTGAAACTAATTAGCTCTGTTGAATGAAAGACATATTCACTAAGTATTTAAAGAATGTTTTCTTCATCCTGAGCAGAAATGAGCACCTGTGTTGCCATTACAGTCGGAGGAAGATGCTACTTTCTGCATCTGTAAGTCTATATCTATTTGTAGACCCAAAGGTAAGAAAATGAAATTGAAATTGATATGTGTCCAGGAGTAGAATGAGATAGAAAAAAACCAAAACCAAAAATACAAAAAAAAGAGAAAGACTGAGTAATCTGTATGCTTCTAGAAAGTGTTTAGGCCTTTTCTCAAAACTGTGTCTTTTTTTGTGAAGGAGATTTGATTGCTTCAGAGACCTTGGCTACAGACATAGAGAGATTTTGACTCATCCTGTAGCAATGAGCTGTGATAAATGTGGGGTGTGACAATGATGGTGATGAGGGCACTGGTGTTCTTGAAAAGGTAATTGGATAGTTTGGTAAGTAAAGTTAAATTTTCTAAAGCAGAGGAATCATCTTGCATTCAATCTCCCTTTTTTTTTTCAATCTTGCACTTTGTTTAATGTGCTGTATAATTCATCTCATTCAGAATCTATGAAAAATAGTTTGGAAAAAAGACTCTCATAAGGCATATGGTGTCAGCAGTCTGGAACGCTTAAATTGATCATACAGAACACCTAGATGAATTCAATACGGAATAGAAACAAACCCAGAACAGCCTGTGAACTGAAGTGTCAGTATCTCTGAGGAAATCGATTATTTTTCTTTTATTTCTGAGAAACCACTGCTGAGAGACATACCAAGTATCTATGATATCATTTTTAGACCATTTTTCCAAGTCTCCAAGGAGCAAATCTCCATTTAAAATTTAAATGCAGGACTGCAGGAAAATGAGTAGGGCAGAAAAAAGAACTGACAGTAAAATATTTAAAACTTTGTTTTATTTGCCACATTAACCTGAAACTAGGTAATGCCAAACACTGCCACACAGTCTGCAATCAGTGGTACATACAAGTACTAGAGTTGAAGTATTTCGAGTGTCTGGATGCAGGAAACCACACGGGAAAGGGTTCTATCTAAAAATAACAGTAATGATTAATATTTGGGAAATGTAGGGAAACACAACACTCACCAAATCACAGCTCTGGTCGGATTTTTCTTAGGGCACTGTATCCACGCTGAGTACAACATCCTAGGTGAGTCAGAACTAACAGTCGTCACTAGGAGGGCACATAACGCAAGGAAAGTGACGGGTTCTTCAACTTTACAAAACTTTTCATGGTGGCAACTGAAATGTCCTGCTCAGTGGTTCGTTGAAGAAAATAATAAGCTTTAATTAGATTTAGCCATGATAGGAGGTGGGAAGGTTCAGGTGAGGTCTGCATTCACAAGAGGAAGAGTGTGAATGAGCATAAAGCATGAAAAAAAAACGTCTGCGCCCTCCCTGGGTCAAAGTAATTCCAATAAATACAAATGTAAATACAGTAAGTTATCATTTATTAGAAAAGAAAGGAATGTTAGAAAGAACAGCCGGCATGGCTGTAGTAAACAGGTATTTGTAGCTCATTCTTGTTGAAGTGAAAACGGATGCAAAGGTTGTAGTAAGTATGAACATCCCCAAGGGGAAAAAGAAAGCACACTCTTTGACAAGGAGAATCTACTCCTAGACATTTATCAAAAGAAAATTAATAGGAAATTGTGTTAAGGCATATATGTAAGAATGCCATACAACAGTATTTAGGTAGAAGCAATACTGGAAACAACTCAAAGGATTAATAGTGGGAAACTGATTAAATGTATTGTGCTAAATCATATAACTGTGTCATATTTAGCCATCAGGAAAATATTTATAGATGTTTAAAAATTTATGTTTAAATAAAAACCATATATTAAGTGAAAGGATGATACAGATGTGTGTGTGGTTAGCTTTATCAACCGTTTATTTGTATAAAAGAGTTTATGGGCTGAACTGAGTCCTCGAAAAGTCGTATGTTGAAGTTCTAACCCCCCAGTTCCTCAGAATGCAACTGTATTTGGAGGTGGGGCCTTTAAAGAGGTAATTAAGGTAAAAGGAAGTCAAATGAGTGGGTTCTAATCCAGTATGATGGTGTTCTTATAAGAAGAGAGTAGGACACATATAAGTACTGAGGGAAGACCTTGTGAGGACAGAAAGGAGAGAGCTTTCTGCATGCCCAGGAGAGCGCTCAGAAGAAACCACACCCGTGGACACCTTGATCTTGGGCTTTTGGCCTCCAAAGTTATAAGAAAATACATCTCTGTTGTTTGCACTGCCCAGTCTGTGCTACTTTGTTTACGGCATCTGTAGAAAATTAACACAGATAGGTAGTAGTTAATTTTTAAAAATAGTAGTCTTTAGATATTTTTTCTCTTCATAATTTCTGTTTTTGGCATTAATGTATATTATTTATATAATTTTAAAATACATAGAAAATAAAAAAGGAAAAGAGAAATACCAGACTATCTTAGTCATGAAACACTAGATGTTTGGGACTCACTTTTCTCTAAGAATTATGTTAAGATTTAAGGATAAAACACTACATTTATTGCATTGCTCGACCCAGTCTTGCCCAGAAGCTCACTTTTGTTAAGTTTTGAGCTAGGGTTGTCATTTCTCGCTTCAAACGGAAGCTCAGTTCAAGTAGTTTCAGTCCTCGTAACCGCATTAGAGCCGACTAGCTGAAAGTAAGTGGGGCAATACTTCTCTTGGAAACATCCGCAGTTCTTAGTAGGTGCCTTGTGTTCTGGAACTTTTTTCCCCCATAGCATCTAGCAGAGTTGTAGACATGAAATGGTCCTTCATAAATACTTTTTGACTGACTTATTTCAAAAATGAGGGTGATGAACTGCTCCTCAACAATCCACTTTCCTTCAGCTCTTTACTAATTGATGCAGGTACCCACTGCAGTGGGATACACCTAGAAGTCTTAAGGTGGTTGATTTTAAAAGGTACCCACCACAATCGGTATCAGGGATATGCCATTTTTCTCCGTAAAAAAATGAATAAAACCCAGAGCATATTGAGTCAGAGAATTTGCCCTGGAAATGTCAGTATCAGCTGTGTGATAGTCAGAGAAGAGGACGTGGAAGTGACAGGTAAACCATCTTCAGTAGGGTCATTTATCAGAAGTTTGGACTGCCTTGTGCTTAGTGTATTTTTTTATTCTATAGGAGAATTCAAAGTAGTCTCATCTTCTGAATCCAACACATTCTCTAAAACCCCTATATGCTTGTTAAGATTTAAAAGGACATAGTTTCATCTACAAAGGAGGAATACATAAATATGTTTCAAATGAAAAATATTGTAAATATTATGGAAGTGCATCAAGATGGCTTAGGTAAAATACTTCAGAGGAAGAAAATAATTTTCTTAACATTTGGTTGTTAATTTTAATATAAGATTCGTATCACATTATACAAGTCTGCAGGACTTAATAGTTTTCTGTTTCAGTCATTGCTTTAGTTAAATTATATATGATACGGTTTAAATGTTACATATATGTGCATTATAATTCCCTATGAAAGTTTATGGTGTGTGTGTGTATATATATATATGTAAACTTATAATTTTAAGGGTATCTATCCTCTGTATAGGGGATCAGATGTTCCACTCCTATTTGCTTTTCAAAAATTCAATCAACATTTAAAATGTCATTATGAGAAAATGATAAGAATTTGTGCTTCTGAGAAAAATAGAGAGAGATTTATTTAAAAACAAATCACATCACAAGGAAAGTGTATATCAGTCAAAATCATGTTCTCCTGACATGGACCAGAGGACTGTCAGGTTCCTCTGTGTCTCCCTCTTGCCTTTTGTTTATTGGTGATTTTGCCTGGTCCCCTCAGCCAGCTGTCCTGTGCTGACCTGCTCTATTCCTTCCTCTTCACCTCTCCCAGGAACTCTCTCTGCCCCTCATGCCCTGGGTCCTGACATCCATCTGCCCCAACTTCACCCTTCTACCTTCAGCCTGACTTGGTTTTAGCCACTAACAAATACTACGTTTTCAGAATTCACAAAAATGGAGAGGTTTTGCCGTAAATGTTGCAAAAGATGTTACAAATTATTAAATCAAGAAATATTTCAAGAAAGGCTGCAAAGCTTTGAGTCCATTAAAAGAAAGAATAAGGCTACCCAGACCATGCACACACTTTCCCAGAAGCTTTCGTGCAAGTCTGGCTTAAGTAAGTTCCTATGTATAAATGCTCAGTCTAATATGAAAGTTCGCTTGAAAGCACCATTATTTACAGGTAATAAGCAGCCACTTGTTTTTAAGTATTTCAATGAAATTTTTTATCTGACATTTGGTTTTAGTCTCTCCAACTGAAGAGGACAAACATTAACAAAGGCGAAATTTTTAAACGAAAAATTATTTTATTTGAAATTCAAAGTTTCAAAGAATATAATAATTATACCTAATTAAACTTACAAATACTGTTTTCAAAATAAATCTATAGCATTAAACTTCTGAAGTTATTAAAGTTTAAAACTACACTAAAACTTCTGGGAAATCCTGGACTTCAACATCCTTCATTAAAAAATAGATTTCTGTAAAAATCTAAACCAAAAATACCCAGGAAAATATTATACTTTCTCCTCCCACTGGGTTCTACTCTCCTTTAAAAATTATTGGAAGTGATTTTGCAGGACAGTGTCATTTGTCCTCAGTTACCCAGAGATTGAATACCAAAGACTTCAATGGAGCAGCCTTAGGTCGTGGAGTTGGTTCATGCAGGGAAATGTTCCCTGGACTCCCAGTCCATTTCTGTTCTCACCACCTAAAGGGACTGACTTGATAAGAATTATGGACTTAGTATTTTCATCATGGTACCCGCATACCTAATAGGTCCTTTGACGAAAGTTGCCCAATCCATGACTCTTGCTCTGAATAGTAGCATGAGGCTTTGCACAAAACATGGCCTTTGTTTGGACTGCACTGCGGACCTGGCCCAGGGCAGTACTGCCCTTAGCCTGCAGGGCGAGCCCTGCTCTGGACCTTCTCTGCTGAATCACTCCCCACAGGGAAAAGAGAGCCTGGGAAGGGAACTGGGGCCCGAAGGATGTGCTGTGATAATGAGTTTCGTCCTCAAAGCAGAGTGGGTAACTGATACATGTTGGTTCATAAAGGAAAAAGATCGTTTGTTTTCCTGGATAGACATTTGTATGCACTTCAGGATTTTTTGTGGTCCTGAATATAAGTTATTTTTTGACTTTCGTGTTTGCACTTTCTTGGTCCATCTACTGTACTTGCTTTGAAAATGTTACAGTGCCATGTCTAATTCTCACAGATGTTTCACCCAGGCAGTGACCTTTTCTCCTGTATTCATAAACCTGTATCCTCCTTCTCATACGATGCTTAAGTAAGTTCATATGCCTGGTGCTTTGCCTCTTTTTTGTCTATTTTGAAAGAAGAGAAAGAAAGAACCTTTACCTTTAGAAAAGAAAAGTTGAACTTATACATGTTAGTAAGAATCTATAGAAGAATTTCTAAAATAATGTGTGGAAGCAGTGAGGCTGAAAGATATCTATATATATGTAAGACTAAAATACACATATATTCAACATAAAGAATATACTAATAATTTAAAGAAAATATTCGAAAAACATGTTTTGTGAGTCAGTATAAAATATGTGAGCTTTCCAAAACTGTGTATAAGTGGTAACTGAGAAGTCTCAGATTGATTATTTACATGAATTTCTTTCACTTTTTCCCTGATATTGTATTTAACTGTGTGTGCTATATAGACTTTCCCTTTAGAATACTGTAAGTATGTATTTGGAAGATCCCAAAACTTTCTAATATTTTTCTGTCATTAAACTTAATTGAATGCATATTCAGTCATGCCTCCTAGGTGACAGGTGTTTTACTCCAGAACAGGCTGGGGGTGTTTGGAATTGGACACGGAGTGGAATCTACTCTTTCTCTCCACTTCCCACTTCAGTACCTTGAAGAATAGATCTCAGCCAGACGCGGGGTCATTTCCTGTTTTGAGCCTAAGTCTTCAAGAGCTGGGGGCAGAGACAAAGGAGAGATCTCATTTAACCAGGTGTGTGTGGCACAGGAAGTGTCCCCAATCACCACTCCTGTTTGACTGGGTTCAGTCTGATGCTCATGCTTTCATAGAGGAGGTGAGGTGCAGCTTCCCTGAAGAAGTGCTCACTTCACCTCTGTTTCTCCATCAGAAGGTTCTGCAGTAGAAGTTTAAACAGTCTGACCACTTCAGAAGGCATGCAAGACAAACAAACAAACACACACACTCTCTCTGTCTACTTGTGAGTCTGCTTTGCTGGGTCTGGTAACCCTCGGTTCAGTCTTCTGAACCCTGAACTAAATTCCATGATCCTCCACTTGGAGGAAAGGGCACTGTCGTCGTCTCTTCTACGTTGTCTAAGGGCTATGAAGAGCTGAAAAGGAGGACCATGCACCTTTGACGTCTCAGGTTCCCTATACCAAGGTCCTCTCATGCTTTGATGGTACAGATTTCTCCAAGAGGCCTCTTACTTTTGGAAACGGTTCAAAAAAGGTTCCAATCTGTGTTCATTACATGTCTAAATGAAGGGGGCCTATATAAAATTGCTTTCCTTAAAACTGGTAGGAAAATAGCTTTCTCTTACCCTTTGCCTTACTCAAAACAGACCCTGTGTGTTGCTGCCTGTTTTAAAAACACAAGTTCCATGCAATGTAGACAATGGGCAGACCTCCATTTATTTAGCTTCTCCATGGCAACTGCTTGTTGAGAAAGCTAAAGTGTCACTCACTCCTGGTCGGATCAGTACCTTTGTTTTGTAGCAAAATACTATCAGAGTGATGTCTAACATTAGCTGAACTAAAATAACTGATAAGAAATAAGTGGATTTATTAATAGTAATGCATTACCTGCATGGGGGGTGGGGTAAGATGCATTCTAGGAGAAGATAAAGAAAATATCCTAGAAGTAATCAATGTTGGAGATCACTGTTTTGCACATAGTGGGAAAGGGAAGGGGAAGTAATGCCTGGCAGTAGAAGGTTTGGAGGATTTTATTTTTTAATCCTCTCTCTTCTTGTCAGTGTCAGAGAGCCAGTTATGCTCATATGAGGCCAATAGGACTGTGATGGATTGAAGTCTGCTTGATTTCTGAAATTGAGTTATAAATTATGTACATAAGCATACGAGACAACCTCATATTTGAGAAGAGCAATATTGAAGCTTTGGAGTAGAGGTAAGAGAATTCTACATATTGTAAAATATGAAATGTCCTGAGAAAATTAGTCTTTTTTTTTTTAGGAATAGGAAACAGATAAAAGGAAGTAAAAAATTGAAGAATCACCAATATAAATTTCAAAAGAAAGAAAAGGAATCTACTTTGAAGACTTACAAGAAGAGTAAAGGTAAAAAATTATTTACTCTGAACACCAGAATATGTTCTTGGATAGCTGTGAGCCAAACTTAACCTGGTCACAGAAGCAGGAACAGAAAGTTAACAGGAGAACAAGCGCAGGTAAGATTCCAAGGAGATGAGATGGAGAAGTAGGAATTGTGAAGGATGACACTGTGTCGATATAACTCTTTACTGTAATTTCTAAAGAACGTAGATGAAAAAGAAAACTTAGGCTAGCAATTTGGAGAATTTGAAAAGCTCTATCAGAGAAGTGAAAATAAATAAATACATTGGTTAAAATGGTGAAGAGAACTTGAAAGAAAAGAACAAAGATAACATTTAGAAGTTACAGGTGCTTGTAAGGAAGAAACCAGGACAACTGGAATAATAAAAAATAGAAGACATAATTCATTTTTATGAATTTTTTATGTAACTTAATGAGATTAAACAATAGAATTAGTCTAAATACACTTCAAGAAAAAGTAAATAGAACAGAATTTTAGCAGAAATACATTTTTGTAAAACTCTGAGAGTGACAGGTAAATGAAAGAGTCAGAAACCTCCTATCAGCAGGGAATGATCCAACAAAGAGAGAAGTTGAAGGAAGGAAGCGGGGAAGGGAGAGAGAGAAAATGATAAAGAGCAGGGGAAGAAGGAAAATGTATGAGAGGAGGAAAAAAGGACTGAACAGACTTTTCTGCACTTTAAATGATCAGAGAAATCGAGAAACCATCCTCACAGTCTTCATGGAAAAAAATTGAGGCCATTGAATTTTGTAAACAGTGTAGTCTATTTTTAATTGTGAAGGCAAAAATTAAGTTTTTAAAAGAGCAAGAACATAAAATACTGCTACAACTAACATCCAGTATTACCCTTTTAAAAGAAATCATTTAAAAATGCATTTCAACTGAGTAAAGATTAATCATAACTAGAAAGGAAAGAATGGGAATATTGTCATATTAGAAAGAAACTGAAGAGGATGAATCCAGACTAGAGAATAGGAAAGTATACCACGTTGCTGAATGGAGGGAAAAAAGGTGGGATTTAAGTATTAAAATCAAGTAGAGGTAAGTATAAGCTTCTAAGTCACAACTGCAAATCCAGTTTTGATAACAAATAGATGTGAATTAACATGCCTTAAAGAAAATATATGTAATATAAATATAGTATATTAATAATTAGCTAGGCCTAAAATTCCAGGTTACGGAAGGCTCCTGTGGGTGGAGGAAGAAATGAAAGTGTAAAAATTCCCTTTTTCTCAAATGCTTCAGTTTTAATCTTAATTAATTGATTTATAAAATTTTGTTGAAGGATTTTGTGGGGAACTTAAACATACCCATCAGTAGGGTAAAGTTAAGATATAGCCTGTCTATATAACTGATGGAAATATATACATAATAATTATTCACATAAATTGTAAAATGGTAGGGGTAAAACAAAGTATAAAATCAGGTTAGATATGATTGGTTTAGCTTTCTTATTCAAAAGTAAAAGTGTTCACTTTAAGTTCAATGTAAATCCAATTAAAGGTTATTTGGAAAAGACATATCCAAACAAAATGGCACAAACAAGCTTAAAAAAAAACAGAATAAGCAATGATTTATCAGGTAGTTGTAAACAATAAAATAACAAAATATCAAAGGTAAAAATTCTGTTTGCAGAGGTAAAAGAAAATTAAATGGGATAAAAGATTATTACTTTAATTAAAGATGCAGTACACATGAGGACATAATACTAATAAACTCTGTTGATGGCCTTGCAAGTTTAGTAGCTGAGAATTTTGAAGAGAACACTCAGAAACACCTGCCAATACTTCTCTCCCAGCGTCACCACTACCTTATACTCCTCCCTCTTTCCTGTTGCAAGGGACGTGAACATGCCGTGCACAGTGAGGCTGGTGCCTCGTCCTGGGTGCCAGCTCTCATGCTCCAGACAGTGCTGGAATAATTCTGCTCCTGATTTCCCACATCATCACTTTTTTTCCCACTCTACACAATCCCCATGCTAGACAATTTCAGCATATAAAAGAAAACAGTTATGTCCCACATTTCCCTCAAATGCTGCCCCATGTCACTCCTCTTATAGCAAAACCCCTGGAAAGAATTTTCAATATATACACTCTCCAGTATCCCTCCTCTCATTCTCTCTTGGACCTGTCTCAAAAAGTTTTCACTCAATTTCAACGTGTCAGAGAAAATGCTCTTAACCAATGGCATCCTACATTTCTAAACCCCATGATCAATTCTCAACCTTCATTGAACTAATAGGAACAAATGATATCATTGCTCAGTCTTTTCTCCTTGAAACAGCTTCTTATCTTGGTTTCCACAACACAACACCCTCCATGCTTACCACCTATATCTCTAGTTTTATCTTCTTAGTTTTTTTCTGCTGGTTCCTTTTCATTTCCGTAGTCTATAAATGTAAGAGTACCCTAAGGTCCTTCTCTTTACTATCTGTGCTTATTTTTATAAATTATTTCATCCAGAGTATATGCTGGTAACTCCCAAACTTAGCTTAAAATGCTTCTTTCAAGAAAAGACTACATATCTAATGTCCACTCGACATCTCTACTTAAATGTTTAATAGGAATCACAAACTTAACATCTTCAAAACTGAGTTTCTGTTATTTTCACAGTATCTGGATTCTCTGAAAATTCCCTTTCCCATTTAATGGCAACTCCATTTTCTGGTTGCTTAGACTAAAACAGTTGAAATCACCCTCGATTCCTCTTTTTATCTCATCACCAAATCAATTCCAGAAGCTGTTCTTATGAGTTATATCTTCAATTCAAGTCTAGAGTCTGAGTACTTCTTCCCGTTTGTACTGTCATCATCGTTGAATAAATCATCATAATTTCTTGCCTGGAAAATAACAACAGTGGCTTAACTGGTTTCCCTGATTCTGTACTTGCCTGGCTACAGTTTATTTTCAACATAGAGGACAGTGTGATCTTGGTAAAAAAAAAAAAAAATTTCACCACCCCCTGCTAACAACCCTCCAAAGGCCTTTCATCTCAGAGTAAAAGTAGAAGTCGTACAATGAAATTGTAACTTGAAATGTTGGATGAAGGCCATCCTTTCCTGCCTCCTTTGATATAACTCTGACACTATCTGTCATTGACCCTGTTGTCCACTCTGCTCTAGCCATTTTGGCCTCCTCAGAGACACCCGTGGTCTTCAAATCAGTGTCTTTGTATTCAGTCTTCCCTCTCTATGGAATGATCTTTCCCCAAATATCAAAAGAGCTAGATCTCTCACTTCCCTCAGGTCTAACCCATCAGTTGTCTTTTCGTCAAAGTATTCTCTGGCCAGTCTAGGTTAACAATTCGGCTTCTCTTTGACATAATATCACTCTCTTGCCACTTCACTTTTTTCATCTTAGCACTTAATATTATCTAACATCCTATATTTTATTTAAATATTTGTTTATTTGTTTAGTCAGTTTATTGTCTACTAAGTTCCCCAGATATATGTCCCTATCAGTTGATTCTACTTAATGGTGTACAAGAGTTAGCTCATCCAAGCTCACAAGAGCCTGTTGTTAGGTTTTCAGAAATGTTATGAGCCAGCACAGCCAGTACTATAAATAGACAAATAATAAATACTATACATTTACAATTAATCATTTTAAAAACAGAAGTATTAAGTACTCTAACTGCTTCCTAAGAATTTTACTATATTTTAGCAATTTCTATGATCTTGAAGTTACTTAAGTCTATTTTATCTATATTGTGGAAATATTCTACCGTCAAATCTCATTATTCACAGTAATTATGTTTTATAAAGTCATAATAATCCCCAAATTAGTGAATACTGAACTATTGCTACCAGGAGAAATATAGGGTTAGGGTCTTGTGAGTCTCTGGTCCTGACATTTTCGTCGACTAATCAATACATAACCTTGTTTTATGCACGTTTTTGTTTAAGCATATCTATTTAAAATATATTGTTGTCCATTAACGTTACATTTACAGCCACCAGCACTGTAACTCGTGCCTGGACAGAGCTTATCTAACACATGTATTTTCTCCATAAGGCACATCACAGCCTTTTTGCACTAGACACTAAACAGCACTTCAGCACTAACCCTGGGGGACATTTTCAACAGCAAAATCACTAACAAAAAGCACAAGAAAACAAAAACCCCCAAACATGTGGCAGTAGATTACAAAAAGGGCATTTATTTGTAGTACAAGAGCTGAAATAAGAAGGCAAAAACATCTCCTTGTTCAACCTCAGCTGGGAACATGAGTAGCAGGTGACTCACATTTTTGCCATTCTGTGCATACTCATGACTGACTATGAAAAGAATGTGAGTGTTGATCTGAAGATTACATACAGGTTTTGGCAAGTAGGCTAATTCACAGACACGAAATTGGCAAATCATAGGATCCGCTGTATAGTGATGAGCTGAGTCATGTAAAATGCTTCCCAGCTCTGCGTTCAAGGATGTCAAGGTGGTAGTTTTAAACTGTGCATGGTGGAATTATATACAACAGTGAAACTGGCAAATATTACAAATTAGGTTTTTATTTCTTGTGTGAGTGATCACATAGACTTAAGAAAATAATGGAAAAAATACTAATAATATAGACCAAGCTTACATTTATAGCCATTACACTGTGAATAGCACAAAAACCAAGGAACTATTCTTCCAGTAGTTGAAAAATATTATCCAATTAGCAAAGAAGTCACTCATGTTATGGATAATGATGATGTTCCAACATGTCTTTGTTGTTTTACTTTTCATTTTAGTCATTAATGTACACAACTATCAGCCAACATTCATGTTGAATCTACTGTTTATCTACACTGATTTGCAATCCTACTTTGCTTAGGGATTCGATAATTCATCAAAAAATCAATAGAAAAAGGCTTCTCAGAGAATGCCTTGGCTGTATGGAATTTACAATGTAGAATATTGTATGCTTTGTGATTACTTGCATACTGTCTCGTATACATTCTTTGTAGCAATAAAATTTGTATTAAACACATGTATAAGGCATACAGTTTTCCTTTTCTCTGAGAGCAGTCATGCCTTTATCAGGTACACACAGCACTTCTGACAGTCCACTCTCAGTTTATGCATCCAGTGTACTCCAAGGTCCACTGAGTCGCCTAACCCATGTCAAGAAGCCATCTTTGAGAGGTCTGTTTTAAAATGAGTCCCAGTTGGTTCCCTCCTGTGTGGCCCACATGTGGACCATGGGAAGCCCTGCTGGCAGTGGAAGAGCAGCTTTCTTTCAGTGTATTTTTCTCTCTTCATAGACTGTCTCCCGGAATATAGACCAACCACTCACCCTTCAGCTCTCCTGGGCATGAGTCAGACATCAGTCTAATGTTTCCCAGCTCCTAGGTGAACATATCACGCTTTCTGACTTGTCTCCTTGGAGATCCTCTTGAGGTGATTTCAAGTGGCATGAAGTGGAGGGGAAGCACCCTTCTCCCCTTTACAGGAAGGGGAGGAGAAAATTGAATTTATATAAGTTATAAGATAGCAAATACAGAAAGTAGTTAACAGATATAAATACTATTCTAAGTGAATAAATTCCAAGCTAGTAGAAAATACTGATGAAACAAATGATCTATTTTAAAATACAGTAATACTAAGATTTGGTTAAGAAGGTGTATATAGCTTCAACAGAAAGATAATGATATAAGATTGACCTTTGAAGAAGGCTTCTGGGCCAACTGGTTTTATTTATGAACTACTCACCCCCAATCTAGTTGCTATGCTATAAAATCTATCCAGAGATAGAGTAAGATAGCAAGGTAGTTACTGTCTCATGAAAATAACAAAACTTTGATATTAAAACTCATGAAAACTGAGGAAGTAAAATTATAGAATGATGGCATTAATGAACAGATGTAGGAACTCTAAGTGAAATATGGCAAATAAATTCCAATCATTTATAAAAGAATCATTCATCAGGATAAAGTAGTTTTTAATCCAGGATACATAATAATGAAAGTGATAATTACAGTGATGCTGAGGATAGCTAAAACTTATTGAGCATTTACAATGTCCCATGCATTGTTTCAAGCATTTTACATACATCAGATCATTTATTCCAAACAACAAACCATGTATGCTGTATTATCTCCATTTTACAGATGAGAGAGCTGGTAAGTGAGTAAACATTAAAACATGAACATAAGAAAAAAGCATATCATGTCAGTATAAAAGACATTTGGAAATATTTGAACATTAATTAAATGAAAATGTTTTAACATTAATTAATTAAATGAAACAAATGTATGCCTCTAACATGATTGAAATATCTCAAAATAAGAGTATTATTTAGAGGGAAACACCAGCATGAAATTCAAGACAAAGATATGCTATCTAATTTCTAAAGTTCCCTTATAGAAATATGGTGTAAAAGAAAACGACTACAAATATTTGAAATAGAGGGGAAATATGATTATTTAAAGTCATTGTAGTTAAATACCTAGAGAATGCATGTTAACTTGCTAAAACAGATGTCTAAAAATAAACATTTTGTATTTATCCACAGTAAAAGTGATGACAATACCTCAATCACATATAGTAAATTTTTGGTACTTAAAAAAAAAGTCTGGGATCTATGTGAAGAAAGCTATGATCATTTTTGAGTTGAAAGAAAGACTCTCAAGTTCATTTTAAAAATAAATAAATGCATATAGACATTAAAAATGAGAGGAATAGAATAGGCTTTTTTTTCTGATAAGGAAACATGTTACAAAGCTAGCGCAATTAAAATCAACTTAAACTCAACAGAAAGTTAGTGGAATAGAATAGATAACCCAGAAACAGATCCCAGGAAAATTTTTCTCAAGTTTAGGGTCCCCAAGGGTCACCTATCAATGTTGCTTAAAATATCCAGTTTCTGGCATCCTATCCAAAAGCATCCTGACTACGTCTGGCACTATTTACGTACAAGCACACAACGAAATTCTGATGCATATGGTCTATGTATTACTTTGATGTGTGATAAAGCAAATACTAAACCCCAACAAAGGAAACATTTCAATAATGCTGGTAAGTATTGCTATGAAAAATTACAGTCTTAAATTATTAAAAGTAAAATACTAATGAATTAAAGAGTTACATATAAAGGAGAAAATAAAAGCTAAAGTAAAACATATAACCCCATGGCCCCAAATGTTGCATCGAATCACCCTAGGTGCAAAGGGTCAATTCAGGGGCACCATGGGATGTTTTAAAATTTCAAGGGAAGAATAGCAATTTTTGACATATATTGGACATGGCACAAGCTGCTAGTTCCAGACACACAGTTTTGTCATTAGATTGATTAGCTACATTTGTTTCATTGGCATCCTTTTTTTTTATCGTAAGAATAGCTATGATAGAAGCAAATACAGTGTAAAATTCACTGTGTGTCAGGGAGTGTGGTGGATTTCAGTCTGAGATTTGAGAAGGTGTACAGTACTCGTTAGACACACAGGCCCATTAATAATTGAGGTTATGTAAGAATACAATTTTTAAATGTTTTCAATTTATGTGAATTTTTTTTCAAACAGCTATTAGTAGGACATAAATATTTCTTAAATTGTTTGTACCTAATTACTTAGTGGTAGTAGGTATTTTTTTGATGCCAAATACCCTGAAAAAATTACTTAGACATTAAGGGAGCTGTGAGCTGAGAGAGTTTATATAACTTATAAGCAGAAGAAAGTATGGATTACTTTTTAGTTGATCTTTGAAATGAAAGGATTATTTGAGCAATAGAAATAGCAGTGATAACGTTAATAGTAAAACTAATACTTATGTATCAAGTACTTACTATTTAAGATCCTGAGCTTAAAGTTTTATGTGAACTATCCCATTTCTTTATCACAAAGATCTTTTGAGATAGGTTTTGTTTCAATCTCAACTGAGATGTAGAGTAATTAACTTTCCCAAGATGGTATAGCTAGCTGGTATATTAACCCAGGTGCTAAAATATAGTATAATTCTGTATGTAAATATGGCAAACAGTTAATAATATATAAAGAGTTCTCACTGGATGTTTAGAAAAGCACTCAAAAATACCAATGGAAAAATGAATAAAATCCATGAATAGGTAATTCACAAAAGAAATAATGCATAATAAGTCAATACAGAAGAAAAATAGAAAAATAAACCTTACTAGTAATACAGTAATTCAAGTTAAAACTCTAAATATTTCAACGTCAGACTGAAACCCCTGTAAGAGCAGCAGTCACAGACTTTTACGTCTGTGTTTGTTATATATCAGCCTTCAATCAATTTTTCAAAAGAATGAGCATTCTGCCTTTTTACCTTATAAAGATTTAAATATTTATTAATTTTCTCCTCAAATAATTATTGAGTGATTTTTTTGAATGTCTAATTGTGCTGGTTCTTAGATACAGGAGAGAACAACACAGACATAGCCCTGGCGTGGTGGAAATCATTATCTATGGATGTCAGGATGCTGAGATGCAGTGAGATAGGAATTCTCATACATTGCCATTGGTGGAAGTGCAGCTGGATACAGGCTTTCTGGAAAACACTTTGACAGCATGTGACAGGGGTCTGAAGAGTGACTCACCCTCTAATTCCACTTTTAGGAATCTTTCCTAAAGACATACTCAGAAAGACACTAAAAGATTTGCTTTAATGGATCTTCACTGTAGCATTATTTATGAGAGCAAAACTTTGAAAGTAGCAATGGTCAATACCCAGTGAATGGTTAAGTGAATTATGGCAGTCTGTAGGAGACAATATTAGGCAGTCAAGGAAAACCATATTTTTGAAGAGTATTTAATAATGTGGAAAGTGTGCTTTGTGATCCAGGAGGGATAAGGCAAACTTTAAAAACTATTATTAATGAATCTTTAAAAATCTCTAAAACTCTAGTAGGAAAAAAGAGGGGCATGCAATTGGAATCCAGCATTAACAGCAACACACACGCACGTGTACACACCCAAACACAGTTTTGGGGAAAAAAAAGATTAGAATATTCAAGGTAGTTATATCTGGGGTTAAGTTTGAGACTATGGGTAACCTAAATTTTTTTTCTCCTGTATTATTTGATAAAGTAACTCTCCATATCTGTGGTTTTGATACCCCTGTATTCAACCAACTGCAGATCAAAAATGTGTGAAGAAAATTTTAGAAAGTTTCAAAAAGCAAAACTTTCATTTGCCTCATCCTGGCAACTATTTACGTATCATTTACATTGTATTTATAACTATTTACATAACATTTATATTGTATTTTGTATTATAACTAACCTAAGTATTTGGGAGGGTGTGAGTAGGTTATATGCCAATACTGTGACACTTTGTACAAGGCACTTGAGCGTCTGCAGATTTTGGTATCCACAGGGGTCCTGGAATCAGTCCTCCTGCAGATATCAACGGACTTTAAAAAAAAAATTTTTTTTGAAGTGTCATTGATTTACAATGTTAGGTTCAGGTGTACAGCAAAGTGATTCAGATATACATATACAAACATACATATTTTTTCTTTTCAGCTTCTTTTCCATTATATATTATTACAAGAAATTGAATATAGTTCCCTGTGCTATACAGTAGGCCCTTGTTGTTTATCTATTTTGTATGTAGTAATGTGTATCTAGTAATCCCCAACCCCTAAATTACCCTTCCCTGCCTTTTTCCCTTTGGTAACCATAGTTTGTTTCCTATGTCCATGAGTCTATTTTTGATTTGCAAATAGAATATGTATCATTTTTTTAAGATACCACATATTAGTGATATCATATGGTATTTGTCTTTCCCTGTCTGACTTACTTCACTCAATATGATAATCTCTAGGTCCATCCATGTTGCTGCAAATGACATTATTTCATTCTTTATTATGGCTGAGTAATATTCCATTACATATGTATACCACATCTTCTTTATCCAGTCATCTGTTGATGGGCATTTAGGTTGTTTCCATTCTTGGGTATCATAAATAGTGCAGCTGTGAACTTTGGAGTGCATGTGTCTTTTCAAATTGTTCTTTTCTCTGGGTATATGCCTAGGAGTGGGATTGCTGGATCATACAGTAAGTCTATTTTTGGTTTTTTAAGAAGCTTCTATACTGTCCTCCATAGTGGCAGCACCAATTTACATTCCCACCAATGATGTAGGAGGGTTCCTTTTTCTCCACACCCTCTCCAAGAGACTTCTGTACTAAACATTTTGTCCAATGTGCTTGCATTGTTTTCTATAATAAAATAACTTGAATAAAAACAGTAGTAAGCAATAACAGAATTTAATAGAAATGTAAATGAGAAATGAATGGTGATAAAAAATAACTCTGTAATTGTCAGTCAGTTAAGCATATGGCTTTAAAGGTCTTCAAAAGCAGTGAAAATAAGTTTGTTTAAGGCAATAATTTAAGGTATAAAGATACTTATTTATTCAACATTTGTTTATATTTATTATTTATAAGGTATTATATCATCCAGGTGCTAAGTTAATTAGACAATTATTTTATAATCTAATAAAATAGATTATTTTATAGCTATCAGTATTTTATTGAAGCATAACTAACTAGACAGAGACAATACTCAGTTGGTCTCCAGTTCAGAAAATAACTAAAAGAAAAAAAATGTATATATATACACATTTTGCCAAAAATAATTATTACATATTTCCCTCAGCGATTCTCAGCCTTCTTTGAAGGAACAGGAGGATATCAGAGTGGACAAAATGGGTTCAGAATTGCCCAAGAGCAAGGCAAGATCACAGCCAACAAGACTGAGAGTGATGTCACCAACTTAAATCAATGCTCATGATGGTAAAACACCCTACAGGGAGAGGCTGCAATGGGAAAGAAAAGATCAGGAAACCTAAGCGGTTTTTGTATCCTGAGTTATAGTGGACCAAGTGGAAAAAGACACATTTCAAGGATGCCCAGAGGTAGAGCTAAGCAAAGAGCAGCAAGTCCACAAGCAGAGGTGGGTGAGTCTCTTTAACAAGAAAATGGGCTGAATCGTGAACAATGTCAGGCTCAACACAAAGCAACTGTAGGCCGAAGTGACATACTTTTAGGTATTTGTTATCTGAGAAATATGGTTCCCACATAAACCTCTATCTCCTTTTGTGCCAGAATACAGGACACTCATTATCATCTCTGAATTATGTGTCTTAACACTGAAAATATCCTGTTAAAAGGCAAACTGAGCATGTTAAAATTTTTAAGAGTTTATTTGAACAAAAAATAATTTGAATTGGGCAGCATCCCATTTGGCAGATGGAAAGGATCTTCCAAGACCTGTACAAAATAAAACACTACATAGACAGAAGGGAGCAGGAGCTCGGAAGTTATATACTGGGTAAGAAAGCAGGTTGGTTATTGCGAGGTTACTTTCCTTTAGGGGCTGCTAGGGACCTAGTAGGAAAATTATCTAACCTAGTACACATCAGGTGATTTCTGATTGACTGGTTTAAGATTCCATGTCTGGGAAAACCTAAACTAATTAAGTCAATTTGGTGACATGGGAGTAGGGCTTAGCATAAGCAACTCAATTTTGGGCCTGTTGTTATGTTATTAACACTTTATTCCCTTTAATAATAATTTTTAAAATTTTTCCTAAACCTTTTTCTGTATGAATTATCATTTTTTGTTTTTTGTTAATTTTATCTAATCACTCTATAAACCCCTACCATCACCATCATCTTCATCTCCATTTTGCCCATAAAAAAATCTGTTAAAATTAATCACTCTTGTAAGAAATTAAAACTATGCCAGAAAGTAGAAAAAGATAATGCTGTTCATTACATACAGTGTTCAGGGCAAATCTGGTATGAATTCATCTAGGAATGGAAAACAAAGAAAATGTTAAACTAAGTGAAATTGTCATCTCACACATCTGTCTACAAATAGATTTTTAAAATTATTTTAGAGAAAAAAATCATTGAGGCCATCAGGCAGTACAAATCAGCTCTCTAAACAGGCAATGAAGATACTGGAATATAGCTGCAGAAGAATAGAATATAAAACAAAGGAATAATAGCCAACTTTGCTTGGTAGATCTAATCTAGAATACTGTGATTTACTTTAAGGTTAAAATTGGGTTACAACTTATGGTTCCACTTTTCTGCAACACTTTCTCTGTGTTACAATGGCTCGTAAAAAGTTTCTTTTTTTCCCTTTTATCAGAACTTCTTAAAAAGACATTCCTTTATTGAAAAAAGTATTTTCTACCTTACTCAGTTCATTAAAACATTCCCCAGTGGTTTCCTCTACCTTTCCTTTGAATTGTTATTCTGGCTTTTTCTTCTTTTTATTTTTTAATATTCCTAGGGTTTTTTTTTTCTAGTTAACTTGCTACTTCTTTTTATTTCCCCTTATGTCTAGTGTTTCACTATATAATCTATTTTTAAATTGATGTCCTATAATCTAAGAGGTTTATAATAAATTTTCTATTCCTAATTTCCAAAGAATACCTTAAGTGAACTTTCTCTTGGGTGTAACATCTATTTTAAAACAATAAATCTCAATCAGAACAGTTTTGTGATCAATTTCACTGTGGAAGAATACGGATTCTAACATTTTGTCTTGCTTTTACTGTTGCTTTGAGAACTTTCTCTAACCTTTTATGTAAATGGTAATCTTTAGTGTTTATAACTCAAGTGGTTTGGAGGAAGTTGCAATGAAATGATGATTGTATGCATTTTAAATATATTGATTGAAATAGTAAGAAAATGTTTCAGAGTAGAGAAAACAAAATACAACTACTTTTGAAAAACTTTACTGAATAATTTGTGTAGTTTGTAAGGCTTCCATGTTCTTTTTCTAAAATTCATAAATTTACATTCAGTAGAATTTATACTTTTTTCACCTACATAAGAAGACTTTTCATGTATTACTGGGAAAGTATAATACAAATAATTTATTTCCTTAGGCCCTTAATACTTTTAAATATGAAAAGAAGTAGATATTGAACAAGAAATTAGTGAATAGAGATTAGATATTCCAGTGTCAAAAATGTGATTTGAAAACGATCTAACTTATATTTTCTTTTTGTAGATATTAACAGTTGTAGCTCAAAGTTAGGGTAAAATTCTAGAACTTAATTGCTGTCACTGAGAAAGTAATATGTTCCTTTGTTAGATCTTACCACAATCTGAAAGATATTTTCTCAAAAATTACTTTTTTTTTGCAGAAAGTTATCTTACTGTTTGGATGTTTGCTTATGTGGATTCTTCATGATTCAAATAAAATCATGTCCCCAAAGTTGATTAATAATTCTGTCAGAGGCTGTGATACATCCTTAGCAGAGCCCATAAATCCCGTTTAACACATTATTAAAATAAAAATATGTTTTATAAAAGAATATCGCAGAAAATAATTCTAACACTATACTTAAAAGAGAAAAATCATAACATTAAAAATAAGTAGAAAAAGTGGCTACTGGTCTTTAAGGAGATAAATACAGACATTAAGTTATGAAGGAAACTTTTTAGAAAAATTATAGGCTTGCAGGTGGATGGTATTTATTCTTTATAATAACTAAATTTATTTTAACATCATGTCTTGTTTTGTCTTGTGGTAGTTTGTCTGAAAAAATGCTGGCCTCCTCTTGCCTCATTTGAGGGAACCATGCCTTCTGGAGCTCCCGTCACCGCACGGTTCCCTCCCACACTGAGCCTGCAGTGATCCTGGTATAGAAAATAGAAGGCGATGGAAGTGATGCGGCATGACTTCCAAGGTGAGGTTACAAGAAGCCATGCAGCTTTGCGCTGGGCTTTTAGAACACTTGCTTTGGGTGAAACCAGTCCCCATTTAAGAAGCCCATTCACTCTGAGTGGGACATGGTGTGGGGAAGCCCAGACTAGCCATTTGAATAGGTCATGTAGAAAGGGAAGGAGGGGAGGGCAAGAGGAGGGAGGGAAAAGAGAGGTTAACTGGCCAGATCCCTGCTGCTGTCCAAGTCGTCTCAGCCAAAAAGTCAGTTGTGTGCGATGCGAGGCCCACGTGGATGTCTAGCCCTCCTGAGTCTTCAGGAATCCCAGCCCCAGTCACCATTTCTCTGTTCTGCTTGAGACACACCAAGCAAGACAGACCAGCGGAACCCAGTCAACCCACAGACCCCGAGAGGTAATAACAAATCATTGCTTTAAGCTACTAAATGTGTGGTTTTTGTTACACAGCAATAGAGAACTAGAAGAGCTTTCCCTTGTTACAGGTATAGTATCAGCAAAAAAATTGCATTTTCTCAACTACGATGAAAAGAATTTAGAGAAAGGAAAATGTTTTCTTTTTTGGCGATACCAAAGTAAGAAGGAAAGGGGGCTAGTCAAGAGGTGACGCCTTATTCCCTGAGTGACAGAACTGCTGTCTAGACAGTCCTAAGGGGCCATTTTATAGATGCAGCATTGATAAGCCAGTTTCCAAAACTTTAAAAGTGGCTCTATTTTGGAAATTAATCTTTTTGATTTATAAACACCACTTTGAAAACTTTTCAGTAAAGACCTAGAGAGTCATAACAAAGGTATAATGTCATTATGTTCTATGATACTCCCTGTGTCAATGACAGGTCATAGATAACCATTGGATATATTTATTTATGTATGCAAATACATACCTTAATGCAGTCATTCTTCAACACAAACATAATCCTGCACCCTAGAGAGATTTTAATGCAGTTCATAAAATTGGAATCAGAAGATTCAATTTAGTCCAACCTCCTTTTTGGGAGACCAGAGCTTTACCTGAAAAAAAAGTTGGAATATTACATGTTGTATTAGAACATAAAATTAAATTCAGCTATCTCGGAGGACAAGTTCAGGTTTAATAAAAATAAATGTGACTGCTCATTCATTCAAAGAAACATACTCTCACTTTCCTACAGATGCTTCAGTAAAGAGAACACTAATCTAATTATAGTGTTTAAAAAAATAAATTGCCTTTGTGCTTGCTGTAAAATAAACAACACAGCTGCAGGGCCTGCCGAGCTTCGTTTATTAAAGAAAATACCTTTTGATGATTAACAAAGGCAGGTTTGTTTGAAACATGAATATGCTCACTGAAGTCTCCTGGATGGAGGGGACTTTCAGAAACGGAGGATTTCGATGAATTGAGGAAAATGTAAACCTAGATAATTAGCGTTAGATAACTTTTGCTCCTTTTTGATTTATAGTGTTGGCAGGGGTGAAGGGTAGGGGGTAGAAAAGAGTAAAGAACAAAAGGAAAAGATAATGTTGGTTTCCTAAAAAACAATCTAATTATTTTCTGACTTAGGATTTTTATATAAAGAACTTTTGGGTAAAATGGCTCAGTCCCTGTAAAATTTTAGAAAGATATTACTACCTCCGTCAGGCACTGGAGATTTTGGCTTTTAATTTGGGGCGAGGTTTAGCCACAGATCCTTTAGCAGATAAGTCTTACCTATGCTCATCACTAGGGGGCTATCAGGACAATAATAATGAGAAAGTTTCTGATAAACTGGGAATTTGGCACAAAATCATCCTGGATATCATCCAGACCAGGCTGCCTTTGAGCATGAAGGGAGCACACCTAATAATTAATTAATAATTATGCTGGGGCAATAGGCATAAATTGTCACTGTCCCTGGCAGACCTGGATACATGGTCACCCTACACAGAGAAAATGCTGTTGGTCATTGGCAGGGTCTCCCTGTGGATAAGATTGTAGGACTATTTCTCTCATTTTACAGTTGAGGATACAGATAAGGATCAAATCCTTTGTTCGAAGTCTCACTTTTTATTACTGGCAGAATAGAACATAGGTCTCCTAATGCTCTTCCAAACATACTACAGCCGAAGAACCTCACTACTGGTCTACCTAAAGGCTGACCCTTAGAAATCTTTCTTTGATCTGTGGATACACATTACAAAAGATATTCCCAAAATTATAGATGGTAGTACTCAGTGGTTATATATTAAGCACGTGACACCGGCTAACTCAGCAAGGATAAATTTATCATATTAGCAACCTATTTCCTTGGAAAGCAAGGAACAAGATTCCAAGGAAACGAGTCATAGGACAGACAATTTTCCGTGAGAGCACCCATGTGAAAGGAGATGCCCGAGGCACCGGCACTCACCGCAGTAGCAGCAGGCTAAACACCAGGGTATCCGGAAAGCCATTTCTCCTCTTAGAAAGCACCAGCTACCTTAGAATAACCTTTCTTTAAACACAAAGAACAAAATTTCTACAGCAATTGTTCTTTCACTGTTGTCCTACTGCTCTTCCTGTTGTTTCTTGTTCTCATCTTATAGTTCCATAGTGGCGGTCCTGACAAATCTCTCCTACAGATACTCGAATTTCACTGCAACATATTTGCAAGTGTGAGTTAAAGAAACTAAATGGATCTAAAGCATATGCTACTTCTTTGACCGCAATGCTGGGTTTGTTATGTTCTCACAAACTCCCTTAGAGATGTTTGAGGGAAAGAGTTCACTGTAGGGACACCTGTGGAAACACGGAAGGGAGGCATCGACATGGCTGGGCTCACCTGGAAAAGGTCTTGCAATCTGGTTTCACAAGAACAAAAGCTCCCTGTAAGCAGCCCTTGTGCAAGATGCCTGGCAGATGTATCAGAAAAGTTTGGAACCAGGAGAGTGGTTCCTTTTAGTTGCCCTGTCCCTGTGGGATCATAGACTCTCCTAGAAACAAAGTAGGACAATATACATGGAGTACTGCCAACCAGGGAAGCTCACCTGAGCTTTGAGCCCAGAGTTTTTTGGGGTCCCATCATATAGACATGGTTGACTGACCATATGACTGATCTCAGTCTCTGGCTGCTCTGGAAGTCTAGCTGGTACCATGTGACATAAGATATTCCACCATAAACTACATCCTAAGACTATGTAGAATGATGGCCCAAGTCCAATCAAGGTAAACAAAGACACTCTTATGAGGCAAGGCACTCAAAAGATTTAGAGATAAACTTGCAGGAGCAGAAGTAAAGGCCTGGCCTCTCTTGGGCAGGGTTAATTCTTTATTGCACACCGCTACAGAAGACTTCCTAAGATCTGCTTCAGGACTCCGCATTGACTGAGCTCTGCTGTTCCCTCTCCCATCCATCACCCCCCACCCCACACACTCACTGCTTCTCCCTGTGTCTTGATCTTTTGGTGCCCCTACCAACGGGTACACTTGATCAGAAACATCAGCTCAAGTTTCTAAGAGAAAGAATTAGTCCATTTTATCACCATAGTCTGGGTGGGTGTAAAGATTCATTACTGGCCCCTTCGTGGGCGTCTGACTAACCCAGCTAACGCTGAGTGTGACTGGCCTTGGATCAGATCACAAGCCTCATGCAGTCAGCTGTGACCAAGAACAATGGATCATTGGTGTTTAACCAATGCAACCCTCGTAAGTGATTGTTTTAAATGTCACCATTTGTATAATAAAATGCACGCCTGTCATGAAATATCTGATGTATCGGTGTCATGTATGAAGGACCTAGTATGAACAGCATCTAAATTTAAAACTGATAGTAAGGAGTAGTTTGATTTCCTTGGCCACATAAGAAAACATGTGCTTTTGCTTCATGGCCACACTGTGGACCATTTGGCTTTGAACCTTGTATATGTGATTTTTACAACCTAGGTTTGCCACAGAGATTCCGAATCGTGCCAATTCAGGACTGAAAATTATTTTGCCACTCAGTAGGCATATCTACCTTTTGTTTGCAGTGAGAAGAATTGGAAAGTGTATGGCCTACCATGACATGTCTAAAGTAATATTCATTTTATTTAATAACGACGAAACATGGGTATCCTAGTGTCATCAGCTGACTCATGTCACCCTGAAAGTCGTAGGTGGAAGCCCTAATCCCCACTGTGGCTGTATTTGGAGATCGGGGCTTTGCAACAGGTGGTGATACAGGTATAATGAGGTCATGAGGGTGGGCCCCTAATCTTGTGGAACTGATGTCCCTTTCAGAAGAGGAAGAGACACCAGACTTTCTTCCACACACCAAGGAGGAAAGGGCATGTGAAGATTCAGCAAGAAGGAGACTGTCTGCAGTTAGGAAGAGAACTCCCACCAGAAACTGAACCTGCCAGACCTTGAGCTGGGATGTCTAGTCTTCAGACTGTGATAAATAAATGTCTACTGTTTAAGCCACACAGTTTGTGGTAGTTTAGCATGGTAGCCTGAGCAGACAGATACATCCAAAGTGATGACTAAATAACTGAAAAAAGTCATCTTTATTGACTATGAACTTAATGAATAACTGAATAAATGGAAAAAATGAGAAAAATTAGGATCTGAGCATATTACACTCTGAGAAAAATCATTTTCATGCTTAGATATAAACTTAAACTTAAAATTTCCCTGTAAAGGACCTAGAAATTTAAGAAGGCTCTGATCTAGCTTACAGCTATAAAATTTATATAATTTTCTATCATAGACATACTAAGATTTTTTACCTTGAGTGAAGACAATTGGGGATCTTTCATTTGCCACACGTTCTGAACGAGACTGAAGTCATCTGAAGATCAAAAATCAGTGAAGCAGCAGAAAGCATTAGTGAGTGAGAACAATTCACCATGTGACCATCTGTCCCACATTCTGAATTCAAGAGACTTAGCAAGTCTATAAAAATATCATGCATGAACTTTCCCTAATGGTCATATTTTTTACTGCCAGCTATATTAATTTTCAATTGCATTTCAATAGGGCATTAGTGATAACCAGTTAGACAAATTCAAGATCCTAATGGAGATATATATTATAGGCTTCTTTTTCATATTTAAAGGTAACATTAAATTTATACCACATTGTTCAGGAATTCATTTATTTATTCTCCATACTTTATGGGTGCTGTGATGCCTCATAAAATTTCATATTAGCTAGAATCTCCTGCTAGGAAAATAATATGGTGGTTAAGTTAATTTGCATATCTCTACTGCGGATATTTGGATTTGTATTTTTGTGTCACTATATATATTTCCATGCGTTTTGTAAAGCCTCCTCACTGACAGCAGTAAATTTGAGTAGGAAATCAGATCATGACCTGATATTTTTCAATATGATTTGCATATAATTACAGGAAATAGAAGTGACTGAGAATTATTTTAGGGGTGTCTGGACAAGTTTTCTGATATAAGAAGCACGTGCAGGCCAACGCACCATCAGTACACGAAGGGACATCTGGGTCCTACACCTCCTCCTGGCCTTCTTGACCAGAACTGGAGACCTAGGAGGGGTGAGGTCACTGTTCAGCGGTCAGGAGAGATGATTACACTGATCTGCTCCTCTGCTTGTTTTGAGACTGTAAGATTTACAAAGGCAGAGATCTGGTCTCTTTTGTTCACCACTTTATTCCCAGAGCCTGAATTTTCTCCACATCTACAGTCATTATTCAAGAAATATTAGTTGAGTCATTGACTGGAAGAAAATGAAACCAAGTGCCATTCCCGCTGCTCTGAGAAAGAAAAGGAAAGGAAATAAACGAAGTTGCTGAGAATTCGTTGTCTCTAAGCCACCTGTCTTCCCAGCTGGAAAGATCCCTGAGAAAAAGCTCAGGGGTAAGTGGGCCATTACAGAACAGTTTGCCACACTCTCTTGAAGGCAGAAAAATAATAGACATTTTTTTCTCCTGTAGCTTTCTACATCTTCCTACAAGTTAAAAAAGAAAAGAAAAGAAAAAAAAAAAAGGAAAGGAGGCAGAGAACCCTGAGTAGAGAGATTTCAGCCACTTGTAGCAACTTAGGTGGTATAGGGCACCTCAGGCACAGTGGACTTGGAGTGGGGAGTGGCCCTGCCAGGCAGAAGGGGCTGTTTGGGGAGAGTCCTGACGTCAGGATGACGTCAGCCGGCGAGGAGCCTTTTGAAGAGTTAAAGCGTGGACTCAGCTGAGAGAGGGAACAAAACATTTCCAGTTTTCAGAACACTGTGGCTGCCTTGACAGAGTTTCCCAGGAGTTACCCTTTATGCCAAAGGAGAGGGAGGAGGTAAAACTCTTCATTTATCTGACCTTTAGATACTGTCTTTTCCAGGGGATCCAGCAACAGAGAGGAGAGACCTAGAATGAGAACAGGAAACCTTTTGCTGCTAGGTAGGAGACAACTGCATAGCTTCAGGGTAGATGAAAATTCATGAGGAAATGGCAAACATTACATAGGAAAACTGAGCCTGCAAACCAGGTATTTCAAAACAAATTTATGATATGAGTGATCATTAAAATTGTTCTGATAATGCTAAAATTTCTAGACAGGACAGGCCTAGAGCACAACAATCTGAGCAGGAGAAGGCAACTTGAAGCTGTGTTTCAGTAATAATAATAATACAACTTAGATTGCATTTTACAGATAACACAGTAATCTAAAAATGTCCTTATTGACATTTGTAAAATAGTGAGAAAATATAGATTCTCCTTTACAAGGAATATTATTTCTATATCATGGTTTGAACAATTGATGGTGATGTCATTGATTACTTGTAATAAAAATAAGGGGTGTAAAAGGAACCCTCCTACATTGTTGGTGGGAATGTAGTTTGGTGCAGCTGTTACGGAAAACAGTATGGAGATTCCTCAAAAGACTGAAAATAAAAGTTACCATCTGATCCAGCAGTCCCACTCCTAGGCATATATCCAGAGGGAACCTTAATTCAAAAAGGTATATGCACCCCAATGTTCATAGTAGCACTATTTACAATAGCCAAGACATGGAAACAACCTAAATGTCCAATAACAAATGACTGGATAAAGAAGTTTGGTATATTTATACAATGGAATATTACTCGGTCATAAAAAGGAATAAAATGACGCCATTTGCAGCAACATGAATGGACCTGGAGATTGTCATTCTAAGCGAAGTAAGCCAGAAGGAAAAAGAAAAATACTGTATGAGATCACTCATATGTGGAATCTAAAAAAGAACATAAATACAAAACAGAAACAGACTCATAGACATAGAAAACAAACTTATGGTTGCCAGAGAAGGAAGGGAATGGGGAGGGATAAATTGAGAGTTTTGAGATTTGCAGATACTAACTACAATATATAAGATAGATAAATAACAAGTTTATACTGTATAGCACAGGGAACTGTATTCAATATCTTGTAGTAACTTATGGTGAAAAAGAATATGAAAGCAAATATATGTATGTTCATGTATGACTGAAGAATTATGCTGTACACTAGAAATTGATACAACAGTGTACACTGACTATATACTTCAATAAAAAATATTTATACAAAAAACCCAAAAAACAACAACAAAAAAAACAAAAAATGAGGGGTATAAACAATTAGTTTTGAAGCACTGTTGAAAGCCATGGTTAAATGCAAGTTGGCAGGAAAACAGCAATGTCATGTGAAGAGTTATTTCTAACTAAAATCTGTTATAAATCAAGATTAAGCATCACTAAATTTACGGTGGAAGTCAAAGTGAAAATGTGGTTTGATTTATGCACTGCTTTCTCAGGAATATCGTCATTGGATACAATGAGGTATAGTGTTATAAGATATTAAGAAAAGTAAGTAAACACACTGGCATAAATACTGGACACTGTGGTGCATGAATACTAAGAACAAAAATATAAGCAGTATAAACATGCTTTAATTAAAATGTAATGTGATATATTCAATATGCATTAGACTCCATTCTTTACATAGGCAAGTGGACTGGCTACCCTCCCATCTTTAGGGAGTAAATAGGCCTCTGTCCAACTCACCCCAGGCACTCTGACACAGGAAACCAATGACATTATCCTTAAAGAATATACAATCTGTCTACCTGCCAAATTCGCAAAGTTCTGCCTCTGGATATTTTCTATACTTCATCTAGTGACCAGTACACATTTATTGAGTTGAACTGATTATATTTATGTGTATACACACACATACAATTAGAGTAATTAAAAGAGCCTGATCACTTCATTCTATTAGTGTTTACCTTGTTAAAGTATTTTTTCTTTTTCCTCTTACCTCATTTTTGACCCGGAACAAATCTATTTCTGCAGCTTTAAGCAGAATTGATGTTTACTGGAAAATGTTTCTTTTACCTCCCTCTGTCCAGGCTGATGGAGATGGAAGTCGTATACAGATATATACATAGTTAATCATCATTCTTGTTATCAATTTTTGTTGCCCTCAAATACGAACGACCTTATTACTGATAGCATTTAATTTCAGCTAAATGTTTAAAAACAGAATCCTGGGTTCAGAGAAAAACTTTCTTAGTAAATATTAAAGAATGAATAATAATTATTACAACTGTTACTGTGTTTTGAGAGATTAATAAGTTCTTCCAATTGACAAAATCAAGGATATATCTTAGGTAGCTTGATCTTCCAGTAGTTACTAAAATGCTTCAAGTGAAAGAGAACGTATTATTTGTGCTACATTCTATTCCATTTCAGATTGCTTATATTTTAAAATTCTGGAAGGACAAGTTAAAGTTAGAAGAAAGAAGGGGCAGGGTATCATAAACAGAAGAGAGTGTACATGTGGAAGAATGCACTTCCTGTTCAGTTTGCTGCAAATCACTAATGTAGTCAGAATACACAGCAAAGTGAGAGGATGGTGGGATGAGATGACAGAGGTCTGGAGGATGCAGAGCTAAGGACTTGGGGTAGTTTCTGCTACAGGAAAACAGTCAGATTTAAATCTTACAAAGGTCACTCTGAAAGAGTGTATGTAAATGGTGAATTAGTGCAGAGATGTGAACTCTGTAGGTACTTATGACTGAACTATTGCATTCATCTAGGCAAGAAATAAATGTAAATAATGAACTTATCTACAGAACAGAAGTAGACTTGCAGACATAGTAAGTAATCTTATGGTGGGGGTGGGAAGGGATACATTTGGGAGTTTGAGATTTGCAAATGATAACCTCTCTATATAAAAATAGATAAAAAACAAATTTCTTCTGTACAGCACAGGGAACTATATTCAATATCTTGTAATAACTTTTAATGAAAAAGAATATGAAAATGAGTATATGTATATATATGCATGCCTGGGACATTGTGCTGTGCACCAGAAACTGACACATTGTAACTAACTGTACTTCAATTTAAAAAAAAGAAAGAAACATAGATCATGAAAGAGAAGAGAGAACAGGAAGCATATTTGAGAACCATTTAGCAGACAGACTGACAAAGACTTCCATGTTTCTGGCAGGGTAGATTAGCAATAATTGATGATGTTTACCAAAATGGGGGAATCCAAGAGAGGAAGAGAAGATGCAAGGGAATAGAAAACTCAGGTGCAGATGTTCTGATAACAAGTCAATCTGATGATATCATAGGGGGAATTCTAGTCTAGAAATATTGGGTGAAACAGTGCAAATGAGAAGTGAGGACAGTATGAATAAGGCAGTATCAGGGTGTAATGGATAAAAATAGGGTGGAATTAAAAGACACATTAAAGTAAGATTCAGTAAGACTAGTGCCAAATTGCTTTAACATTAGAGAAAGTTATTGCTCTTACTAAGCGCCAGAGCTAGTGCTGTTTAAAGTATGTAATTCTGCAGGTACAACTTCTAACCTTTAAACAGAACTGTAATTAAAATTTAGTTTTATAGAAATTTCTATTTTAGGCTCTTAATGTGTAAACTGTAGGTCAAAGCACATGTTATTCAAATCTAGTATTCAGAGCACCTAGTGTATGAACATGGTCAGCGTATGTTTGTGGAACCAGATTGACACATCTATGCTGCAACTTTCATCATGTCATACATTTTTTTTTTCCCCAGCAGACACTTACTGAATGTATGCTGTAGGCCAGGCCCTGTGTTTTTTGCTAAGGATAAAAAAGAATAAAAAATATTATTTTTAGATTCAAAAATTAATCTTGATAAAGAAACATGTATAAAATAATAATTACTATGGTGGAAGTAAACATAGAAGCATATGGACTCGTAGAAGAGGGGCTTATCAGTCAACTGGTCAGCTTCTCATGGGTGATGATGTGTAAGCCAAATTGTGATGCTGAGCAGGAGTCAGCCAGGTTTGTGGAGGTGGAGGTGGTGTACAGTTGTGGGTATTACAGGTGTGAGGAACAACCTTGTGAATAGGGCGGGGGGCTGGGAGGTCAGAAAGCTCTCTAAGTAACACTGGCAAAATAGCAAGATGTTGGAAGGGAGAGACAGGAGAGAACAATGACCGTGAAAATGAATATTAAGGTAGGCGCAATATGTTTCTCTGCCATGCTCAGGAATTTGAATGAGGAAAACAGCCAGAGAAGACAGGCTGTAAGTTCAGCCTTAGACATATTGGGTTGAAATGTGTATTGGTCAGAGTAGGCTGACTACTGTAATAAATAACCATTTCATTAGCTTAACCAATACAAGTTCCTGTTCCATCAATGTCACAGCCCAGTGAAGGCTGTACAGGGAGGGCCTGCACCCAATGCAGCCACCCAAGCACCAAGGCTCTTTCTATCCTTTAGTCCGCCTTCCTCTAGAGCCTTAGAATCATCTCTGTGGAGCTCACGGGTGAACAAAGAATGGGAGGATACAGGCAAGACTGTTTTAGAGGGCAGACCTGAAAAAGGCACGTACCACATCAGCACACATTCTGTTGGTCAGAAGTCGATCAACGTGGTCATACCTGACTGGGAAACTGGGGAATTTTACCTACTCGGATGCTCTGTGGGGAAAGAAAAAAGGATTTGGCGAACAGGTTTCTGTCTGTGAGATAAGCAAGTAGGAATAAAAAATAGAAAATTCTGTTTTAAACCTATTAATGTATTTATGAATCCTGCACATAAAACAGTGGTGGTTTAAATCATGGAAGTGAGTGGAATCTCCAGGTATGATCAAATATATTGAAAATAACTCAAGCATTTCATGGGTACATTAAAAAAAGAGCATGAAAAATGAATTGAACATAAATGGCCAGGAACATAGGGGAAGAGTAGGAGGGGGAATGTCAAAGATGCAAAGGGAGGGAAGAATTTCAGGAGCGAGGGTGGAGTCAAAGGCATGATAAGCCCCAGGGTAGTCAAGTAAGAGGTAGCCATTGGCCACGTTCTGAGACTTTAACTACTTCAATTTGGTAAGAATTCATCACGTCGTTTAGATGGCTGGGTGACAGGAAGGGGACTATATCTGGAGCAACAAATAGCCTTAATTTGTAATGTCTACTTGTTTTAAAATTAAAGATGGTAAAGTTTTCTGTGTAACTTCATTGCTGACATCTCAAAATTAGCCTTAACAGAAATTTTAACTCTATATTTACAGTTACTTCTCTCAGATAAGTTTTGTTGGTGATGTCTTTCTTTCTCAAAAAGATGAAAAATCAACAGAAATCCTTTCTAATTCCATTTAACTTTCATGTTTATAATCTCCTTATTAAATACACTCTGTATATAGTCAGATGGCAGTTCTTTTGTGGATTCAGAATATGTGTAAAATGTATTTGCATATTTACTTCCCACATGTGTATGTATATATACATATTCCTATCTATGTGCCTCCTCATGGACAATTCTAATTAAATTTGGTTGGATTAAAAAGTTTTATTTATTTATTTATTTATTTATTCTTAGAGGAGGTACTGGGGATTGAACCCAGGACCCCATGCATGCTAATAAGCATGTGCTCTGCCACTGAGCTCTACCCACCCTCCCCCAAATTAAATTTAAAATAATGACAAATAAAAGCAAATTATATAAATGCCTTGATAAACATCTCCAGTTGCATTTTAAACTATAAAATTCCTTAATGCCCCTGTGCAGTATCGTGTAGCTTCAAGGAGCGACACAGATGGGAGATGGGATACATTACCTGTGTTTTAATATCAATATTGAAAATATTTAAACATTAATAATAAATGCCCTGAAAGCATAGGTACATACTATTTGGCATTAAAAATAATGTGAAGAAATATTTACCAAATGTTCTTTTACTATTGCTCTTTCTTAAAAAAACAAAAAGGTCTTACATTCCCAATATACAACGTATTACAAGAGGAGCGTCTGTCTTTGATGGCTTCCCTTGATGGCGACTTCTGAGGCACCTCTGCGAATTCCTAAGTCAAAAGAAGCAGGGTTTGGAAACAACTGCTGTGAAAGGTGTGCTGTGGCAGGGACTTCCGCAAGACGGTAAATGTGGATGGGGAAAAAATGTGGGATCAAGGTGCTGTAAAGCTCTAAGTAGGAAAGACTGAGAGGAAGAAATTAAGCAGGTGGCCAGTGGCAGGACCTCATAGTAAAATAAAATAAAATAAAATAAAATAAAATAAAATAAAATAAATAATAAAATAAAATAAAATAAAATGAAAAAACTAGTGGAGTGCAGCATGTTGGTAATGAAACAGACTTCCTCTCATGCTTTTCCCTGGGCCTAAGCCTGGGAAAAGCATGAGAGGAAAACTTGGCAGCAAAGATAATAAAACCAGACATGTCCAAGACAGAGCAACAACAGCAACAACCTGCAGATGATTAAACAGGTATAGCATAAATGATTTTTAGCAGCAATGATTAATACTACGGAAAATGAATGAAACTTCTGCCCCTAACTGTAAGCGGGAGGAACCATAAAATGTTCATGGTTCTAAATTCGAATCCCATTTTCACTATTCACTTAAAATACAGCTGGCACAGGCAAGCGGGGCTCTGTGCTAGGTGATGGGGAGATGGAGGAATCAGGCACAGTCTCCTCCGGTAGAAATCCTTCTTCCCACTAGAAGAGGAGCACGCACATAAAGATGAGGGCAGAGGGGAAGAGGGCACACTGGCCGAGCGCGGGAACAGGGCTGCTAAATCTGACCGATGTGCCCGAGAATAGTTTCCTGGTAGAGAGGAAACATGGACTGGGTTAGTGATACACCAACAGGGGACGTTTAGACGAATTAGACCTCAGCAGCAGTAACGCCAACAATAGCAGCAAACTAAGAAATCCAGTAAAGAAAAACAAAACCACACAGGTTAATCTCTTAGCATGTTCCAGACTTAGCATATTCTGTGGTTCATTTGGATGGTACCTCACTGAATGTAATTGTGCATAATTAGCTTATCCACTTTGACTTCAACACACTTAACCATATCTTACACAAGGGAAAGAAATTACATTTCTTAAGTCTCTTGCCTCAGGTGATAAACTCTGCCTTGGTGGCTAAACCAGGATACAGGCTTAGGCAGTCTGACTTCACACTTGTGTTCTTAAGCACAGCTGACTGTGAAGAATTTAAAACAAATGAACATGAAAACTATGGAGCCTCCCCAACCCCGCCCTGTAATATCTTTGTAGAAAAGTACTAGTTTTGTTCCAATTTCCTTCTGAGTAAAGTCCATTTATTAGAGAGATCTCAAAAAAAAAAGCACAAAAGTTTGAATACACAGAGTTTATTATATTAGGCAATATCTAAATTTTTTACAATGTACAGTACTGAACAATCTTAAAATGAAAATTTCCAAATGTTTGAGTTGTTGTGCCTTTTTTCTTGTCATTTTAAAGGCATTCTAAAACAACAACAACAAAAATACAAAGAGCACAAGGAGGTTGTATTTCTGTCTTAAAAACATGAATCACAAAGACCTTTGAAAATGATTGTCATAAATTCTTTCTTAGCCTTCTTTTCAAAGCCAGCGATCTTTGATTCCTTTAATAACTCACGTGATTAAGGCACTGCAGAGCTTCTGCTCTCGCACTGACTCTCCCTCCACCACACCCTTAGTGCTTTCTTTACTCAGCGGAGATTGAAGCTCCACCCTGATCATCTCTCCCTTGCCGAGTTCTCAGCAGCCCTCACCTTCTTGTTGCACTGGACTTGCTTGTTTGAGCCACGTTCCTAGTTACACACACTGAGCCTGCACTCACCAAAGCTGAATGTGGCTGGAGATCAACACTATTCATGTAAACTGGTTCCACTGTAAATTCAGGATTAAGTGGGTCCTTAATGTTGCTGGGCATAGCACTTAAGTCTGTGCATTGGCTCCCTTTCCTAGAGGACTGTATACGCATTCTCCCCAAACTTCCATCGCCTTTGTTCATCCTCATTCACAGCTGCTGATCCTTTACTCTGTTTCACTTAGGAAATACAAGCACACAGAAGAGAACTTCCACGTCTAACTCCCATCTGCCTTGTGTCCATAAAAGAATTCTTTTGCTGTTCACACTCTGGGCAGAGGCTAACTCCTCCTCAAGTATGCTAGACCCCATCCCTTCTCATCTACACAAGGAAATCTCTCTAGTAATTCTCCCAATCTTCGCTGTATTATCCCATTTTTCTTCTTAAGCTTTCTCACTAGCATATAAACATCGTTATTGTTTTTCTTCCTTTAAACATGTCTCTCTTAACAAGTTTGTCACAATGTTGATAAATGACAAGACTGGGCAACAGTGCTGATGGGTGCATTATACAATTCTCTCTATGTTTGAGTATATTTAAAAAAATCTATAAAGCAAAAGCAAAAATGGAAACAAAAAACCTCCCTTGACCTTTCTAGTCCCTTCTGCATACCACACCAGTTCTCTCATTCACATGACCACAAAACACTTCGAAAGCTATTTATACTCTCAACCTCCTTTTTCTCTTGAATCCACTCCATTCATGTGTTTGTCCAGCACTTGAGGAAGAGTACTCTTGTCGGGATCAGCAATGGCCTCCCTCTTGCTCAAGCCAATGGCAGTTCTCAGTATCTATGGTATGTGATGGATCAGTAGTGTTCCACACAGTTGATCACTCCCTCTTCTCTGATGCACCATCTTCTATTCACTAGTCTTCTGGTTGTCTTCTACATCCTCATCGCCTCCTTCTTGGTCTCCTTGGTTCATTCTCTAAGCATTAATGTGTTTTCAGACTCCGTCTTTGGGTATCTCTTCACTCTGTACTCACTCATTTGCTGATTTCATTCAGCACTGTTACGCTGAATACTATGTTAAAGCTAATGACTCCCTGTTTTATATCTCCAGCTGAATCTCTGCCCTGACTCCTGTTTCTAACTGCCTTCTCCTCACCTCCACTTGGATCTCTGATAAGGACTTCAGATTTAGTGCGTGCAATACTGAGTTCCTCGTCCCCATCCCCTCTACCTCACGTAGCCACAGAGAGACTCTTGAACTCTTTCTTTCATTCCTCAAATCTGTTCTCTTAAAAAATTCATTTCTCAATCTCAGAATATGTCCAGAGCCAACACTTTGCCACCTCTGCTACTACCTGCAGTCGAAGTCTCCATCAGTTCTCATCTGAATTATTTAAGTAACCTCCCAGTCCCCTCAGTCTACCATCAACAGAGCAGACAGAATGATCTTCAGAAAGCACAGTCAGATCATGTCTAACCTCTGCTTCAATACACCTAGTGACTTTTCATTCTATAACAATGTCCTTTTTATATTTCACAACCTCATTACGTGAAGTGTGATCTGTCGCCTGTGAGCTTGTAAGATTCAGAACCTCAGGTCCCAGCCCAGACCTACTAAACTAGAATCTAGGTTTTAATAAGACGCCAGGATTCACAAGCAAATCTACAACATCCCTCTTCCGCTGTCAGTCCGATTTCTTCTTCTGCTATTCTGCCTCTCACTTACCCTCTCCCACCTTATGTGACCTATTTGCTGTTTCTTAAACACATGCACACATTCCTACCCCAGAGCATTTGTTTTACCCTTTCTTCTGCCTGAAGAGCTGTTGCCTAAGGTATTTGTATGGCTGTGCTTTTACAGAAAAGTCATCTTCGTAGTCTTTCCCTGGCCAACTCTGTAAAATTTCACTCCCCCTACGTCTTGTCCTTTACCACTTCTTTTTTTTCCCCCTTTGTCCGTGGCACTAATCATCACCTAACACAGTACTCATTTTAACTCAGTTATCTGGTTTGTTGATTGCATTTCCTCACTGAAAGTTAACACTTTCAAGTTTCCTTTTCTGCTCCCCACCCCCACATCGCCCCGCCCTCACCACAGTGTGGTTTCTCCAGCACCTGAAAGATTGCCTGGTAAGTAAATGATACTTAATAACCACTTACTGAGTGAATAAAGGCTTCTTTATTTTTTCAAATAGCTTCATGGAAAATGTTCTCCAAACCTCCTTAAGACCTTCATTCCAGTGAGCCCAAACTTTTCCTCTAGGCAATCAGAGTTGTAACGGGGAAAACCTCTGGCAAACCTAAAGCCTCTGGTGGACTCAGCCATCTGCCCACACCTAGCAAAGCTGGACAAACAAAGAGAACTGTTGCCATGTGTAAAGCAAGATCATCGACCTCAAGGGCTCATTCAACACCATCCAACAATTCTGTCACACTTTGCTGGTAGGACTCTTTCCACATCCTCCAGCTCCCAAATATCCCTTTGCTTCCCTATGCAGAGCAGTTTCCCTGTGCTTGTCTCACCCCAAATGAACAGGCTCTGCTCAGAGGAATGCATCTGGTGACCAAAAAATGCCTGTTAAAGTTGTATTCTTCCAGCTCCAATATTCTCCCAAAACGAATTCTGTGGTCGGTCTTGAAAGTAACTACTTTTCCTCCATTATACATGGAAGAAAAACTGATACACCAATTTAGACTTTCATAATTTTCTGAATAATTTACAGAAATTATTTTCTCAACTAGTATACAACTCTTAAAATTATGATGCACAGTACATGTTGTGAAATGTGTCTAGAAGATCAGCAATTCTTTAACAAAGATGTGTTTAAAAATACTGACACTTCTTAGATGTTCACTTCCAGTTCAGATCCCTAGAGACCTCACTTTATAATCTCACTGAGAAAATAAATACTTCACTATATGCTAAAATATGATTTAAATTCCAATTATGCCATTCCTATGCCTAGTCTAAGAATGGTTTTTTAACATTTAAAAAATTGCATTTCCTTCTTTTCAAAGTTCTGTGAGAATTTTGGTTTAAACATCTCTTTTTCCCCAATTCTACATAATTCATTGTCATTAAGTATTATTATTACCAATATAAATAGTTACATAAAATGACATTTTAAAGATAATGGCATGTAACTTCCAAAATAGATTTATCATCTATTTCTGATAAAAGTACCATGTAAATGATAAAATAGGCTTATTTCATTGATACAATTAATCGTTATTAATGAGATAACTAACCAACCTTACAAACTGAAAGTCAATGAACCATTATATGATCAGGGCAGTTTTGCTCCAAACAGCTTAAACACGTCTTCTACTATCTTTAGCAAACGAGTCATTTATTGGCTAACATAACCAAGGCAAGGACAGAGTTGTAATGAGGGCTCGGGGACAAGTACTATCCTCTCCACTCTACTTCTTTCTTTCTGTTGACTTTTCCCATAATTGCTAGACACAATGGTACCAGTTTCTAATATATGAAACCAGAGAGGAAATAAGAGTCCCAAGGTAAGATTCTTACTGGCCCTGCCTGAGTCAGATACTGACTCCGTTATCAATAGTCATGCTGAGCAGGGTATCAGAATCTGTAAGAAGATGGCAGCTTCCTTTGGAATCGTCTGATTACTACTGGGGCAAGGAAATTGCTAGAATGAATTGGTGGGAGTGTGGTGCACATGTGGTGAATTGCTGTACTGGGCAAACAAAACAACAGATGTTTTTTTAACAACCGTTTGTTTTGGCTTCCTCCTTTACAACTGGAGACCATTGTGCTAGAAGCTTAACTGTACTTATCCTTTTTTTCTTCTTTTTTTGCAGCACAATAAAAGGGCTCCCACAATTTTAAGGCATCAAATGGAATTGTTTAGCTCACACATATTGTCAAAGTTACACAGAGAGGAAAACTCAGGTTGGTTCCAAAGGAAAACTCTTCTACTGAAAACGTAAAGGGGTTAGAAGCCTTCCCAAAGATAAGAGACTTTGTGGTGATGTGATGGGCCAAATCCCCCCAGGATTTCTGTGTTGACACCTAATCCCTAGTGTGGTGGTATTTGGAGGTGGAGCCTTTGGAGTGTAATTAGGTTGGGAGGGTGGAGCCTTCCTGGATGGGATTAGTGCCTTTGTTAAGACGAGACCAGAGAGCCAGCTTGCTCCTTTTCCAGCATGTGAGGACACGGAAGCCTGCAATCCTCACCCCACAAGAGGGCTTTTACCAGAACTCCACTGTGCTGGCACCATAGTCTCATATTTCCAGCCTCCAGAGCTCTGAGAAAAAAAGAATTCTGTTGTTGATAAGCCATCTTAATGTATGGTATTTTGTGATAGCAGCTCAAGCTGACTGAGACCGATAACCAAACTGATACATGGAAAGTAACATGAAGATTTTACAAGCAGGAGTTTTCCAAAGGCTCAAGAACACTTCAAAAAATTCAAGCAGCTTAAAGAGAAACGCTATGATACACTGTAATATAAATAAGTGTATTCTATTGAGAGGAGGCTCAGAAAATACTATTTTTCAATCCTTTCAAATGAACAGGATGCTCTTCTCTCCTACTTTGTGAGTATGGTGACTATTTACTCTTCAACGACTAATATTTTTCTTTCATGTCTAAACTTTGTGAACTAGGCCTGTTGAGATCCTAGAGATCCAGGTAGAGGTTTCAGGGAGTTGGGAACCAGCTACAAAAATGATCAGATAAATTAGCAAAAAAACCAAAAACAAAACAAACAAGCAAAAAACCCCTAGAAGATTCTTTCCTTTAAAATCTTTGTTGTTATTTTGAAAATTATAAATGTAATGTTAGCATTAGTTTTGTAAACTATGTTATTAGTATTTTATTTTGTTGAAATCAATTATTGAATGCCATGGCATGTAGCTATATATATATATATATTTAGGAAGCACACACGTGATATATTACTATGTCAAGTCAGTGAGGGGAGGGTTGTTCATTGCTTTATACCTGATTCCCAGAGCAGTGCCTGGCTCGTAGTAGATGTGTCATGATTTAACAAAATAAAGTTAGTTAATCTTTGTCATATTGTAATTTTAGAATGCTTCTATTGATATATATTAAAATTGATACTGCCATTATGATTATGGACATCTGGTCCAGCTGAAGTTGGCAATATAAATGAAAAAAAAAGGAGTAAAGAAACCTGTGTATCCTTTGATCTTACTTTCACATCACATTTCTGAAAACCATGGGAAAAGGGCCAGTGTTAAATTTAACCAAATGGAAGGAGAATCCTATATTTGGCCACCAAGCAAACACATCAGGGGATATGAATGCATTCTATGAGAAAAAGTCTTCATTTTTAGGATTGGATATTTACAGGAACTTAGATTTCCCTATGGAGACATGATACATTACAGCATCACATAAATTTGCTTATTTGCTTATTTCACTCCCAACCAGAAGAAGTTGTCATACTGGAGAGACTTTTGTGGAGTCATGTTCAGCAGTTTATGTCTTTGAGTTCTCACAGAAGGTGACCTTTGTCAACAAATGTTATCCACTCCAGGAGCACTGGTATGTTTTTCACTATTTTGAAGCAAACATCGAATGGATTGGCAGCTAGATTGGCACTCTGCACACAACTGGACAAAGATATAGGTGTCTCTCAGTGAAGCCAGTGCCTAGCTTTCATCTAGTGTTGTACAGGTTGTTGCCTTCAAAGAAAAATTTGCATTTTATGAGCCCATTTTGGAACCTGGAAAGAACATCAATGTCTTCAAAATGGTGAAAAGCTTTTTTGCCAGGAAAAGCTTTCCCTGGAATTCAAATCTTGGTGTCGGTGCTCAGGTGGAGCACCTGCAATGCTTGGCAACACATCTGGTTTGGCTCCCTTCTTGAAGAAAGATACGCCACATGTCATAATGACTCACTGCCTCCTATACCAGCGAGCAATGTCAGAAGAGACTCTGCCAGGAACTCTGAGAGGATCTTCATCTACTGCCATAGAAAGATCGACTTTATCAGAGCCAAAGATTTAAATCATTTATTTCAGGATGTCTTGTCAAGGGATGAAAGAAGACTATTAACTTCTTTGCTATATGATCCAAAAACAAAACTTTCAGTGCTTGATTGCAGTTTGGGCAAGTTTTAACTTTCTCTTTTCTTTCCTCTCTCTCTCTTTCTTTATTAATTATTTGGAGGGTGACAGGTGGAAGATAAAATGGTATAAAGGAAAGTTCACTGAGCACTAGTGGGCAATGAGGAATTGATCCATATGTTGGCCAAAGAAAGGATTTTTTTGTTGATATAATTGAGGTAATTCATTCAAAACAAAATGTTAGATTATAGATGCTGCTAAAAACAAAACAAAACCAACACACCACCCCTATCCTACCTCAAACCACCACCACAACAGACTACAAATCCTATATCCAAGTCCTGAACCAAACACTAGAACCAGGAAACTATCTCAAAATTATAAATGCTAGGAAAATCACATTTTTTGTCTGCATCGAGGGTGATGGAGCCTTGCCAAATTCTCTGTGGGAAGATATCTACAGATCTCTGGAAAAACTATGGAGTCCTTCCTAAGGTTACGTCTGCTCAAACTATTTAAATTTTGAAACCTGGGTGTGTGATCCTCTTCTTGCTGACAAAGAAGGCATCACTGTGGTACATTTTGACCTAGATGACTTTGGGATGAAGAACTTGCCATGCCAGGATTTCAAGCCAAGAAGTCCCGGAGAATTCAGTTATATTCGATGATGTACACTCACCAGGTAAAGCCATTGTGAAAACACCCTACTCATATGTCTCTGTAAATGAGGTTATTAGCACACAGAGTCACCGAGACACATAACCGAGAATATCAAAATTAGATGTCGAAGATAATATGCATGCTTTCAAGTCAAAAATATGACAATTCCATATTTTTATGATGAATGATATCAAATTCTTGCTGACTTTACCTTTGGCGCAAATTTGATTTGTCATATTTTTAAAATTTGGATCTTAAATTCTCTCCCCTTGTTTTCAGTAGATGACCTTTATTTCTCCCTCACAGAGAAGTTTCCTTAATGTCCGTCACCAAACCTAACATGCATCTGCAGATCTGCTCTTTCTCCTTTCTCTCCATCTATGATGACAGTTGATACAAATGGCTGGAATCCAGAGGAGACAGTAGTCTAGCTCCAGTGATGCTGATGATGGCACGTGTGGGATGGCACCTCACTCAGGTGTGTGTCCCTGAGAACCTGTGTAGGGTTGAGCTTTCCTACCAGCTTGGTCTCCTCACAGTTGGGACTGTCATGGGAGAGAAAACTAAACTTCTTTTTTTGCCAAGGGTATTGCAGAGTCTTTTAGTTAGAGTGATTTAGCTTTTACTCCAATTCACTAAGATTCTGTCACTCTATGTGGTCTCACCAAGTGCTGTGGCTTCAGTTATTTCCCAGTGTTACCAATTCAGGTCTCTCTTTCCACAGCCCAGAGCTGCATATCTGAACACTGCACTGGGTACTTGGGTAGCCCATAGAAACTGAAATCCAGCAATCCCCAAACTTAATCTTTTCTTACTCAAATTTTTCTTTCTCCTCCAATGTCTGTTTGAATCAGTTGTACCATCCACATCCCAGTGGCTTAAAATAGAAATCTTAGATTAAATTTCAACTTTTCTCTCTCCTGCCTTTCATAAACCTAATACATAAAATTGCATCTTTTCTACTTCCTACAAAAATCTCATAAATCCAACCACTTCTGTTTGTGTCCCTTGCCGAGAGTGCAGGACCCTATCACCTCTCCCTTTGGATGCTGATAGTGACCTGCCCTTGCTTTCCTCGTTCTGATTTTGTCCCTCCCTGGCCCATTCTCTACAGCTCTCAGAGCCTGCTTTCCACAGTGCCAACCTGCCTCTGTACAAAACCTTCCAAAGATTCTCTCATGTTCTCCAATAGAGTCAAGATTTCTTAATAGGGCTAGCAAGGTCTTCCAGTCTTATCTATTGTCCTTGTTTCCTTCATAGGTCACTGTCCAGCTTTTCCAGACTTGTGAAAGATCTGCAACTACCCAGTCTCACACCCACGCTTTCCAGTAAGTGTTCCTCTGTTAAAAACAAACTCCTTCAGCATCAACGGGCTGATGCCAGCATCTCCCTCAGGTTTCAGCTCAGTGGCTGCTTCCCCTGGAAATCTTTGTCAACTCTTTCAAGTCTGGGCTAGATGTTCCTCCTGTGTGAAAGAGGGGACGGTACTCCCAGGGAATAGCACCAGTTATATTGCATGATAATGTTTCTTCACTGTTCCATTTCTCACAGGGGAGGGACAGAATGTGTCTTGTATTTCCATTTGCCCCACAATCTGGTACCCCTACAGCTCCTATTACTGCTAGCATGTAGTAGGGGCTTAGGAGTGACATACAATAGGAATAAATTGTGCACATCATTTTGCCTGACTTTGTTTTAACACCCTCTCTCGGGAAGAGTTCATAACTCTCATTAAATTCTCCAAGAGCTCATGGCCTCAAAATAGCTAATCATCCGTCAGTCTGCTAACTGGTAAAACACCGTAAGACACAATCCTTAAGGTTTTAGGATAGTGTGCAATAAATAACCTCTTTTTCCCCACCAATCTGTGCAAATGGCCAATTGAAATAACCATAGATGGTTATCCCTTTACCTCAAAACCAACATATTACAAATACCAGTTCTCCTAACACACACACACGATATCCTTTTTGGAGCCACTCTTTACAGCAATGGGCATGGATTTGGCATGAAAAAGCTAAAGGTTTCAAGAACCTGTTCAAAAGCACAAGAGGGATAAAGTTATGAAAATCAGAAATAGTTTGGGGAATTTGGCTCAGAGACAAAAATCAAGACTCAATTGGTTTACTTTTTAAAAAAACGTTTTATTTTGCAACAGGCTCACCAGAAGTTGCAAAAGTAGTGCAGATCACACATCCCCCAGTGAGGAAATGAGTTATTTTTTATTAGTTTTTTTCTAATAGAAAAGATTCTTTTCCATGACTGAGTTTCATTTTCATAATGTAAAGCTGTACAATTTGATCAATTCAAAAATCATTGGAGTTGTGTCTGTTGAGCATTTAATGTTGTCAGAGAGTATACTAAGTATCGAAAAGCCTTCAAATCAATGCCATGGAGTAGATACAAACGTTACCACGAGACACAGACGATGAGGCTGAGGCACAGATAGGTTGAGTAAAATGCTTAAAATCCCACAGATGCTAAGAATCAGGGCCAAGTTTATGAACGCGGTTCTGCCTGACTTCAGAGGCTGCAGTCTGAACACCCACACTGGGATGAGCCACTTCCAAAATTGCTTTCCATCTCTGGAAGGTTTAAGGACTGACTGACCATCTCTCATCATGAATCAGATTCAACTGTTTACACGCTTGCTTGCATTCTTCTAAAACCTATCTAAGATCATTTCCCTGAAGGGATAGAATGAAGTCAGGAAAAAAAAAAAAAATAGGAAGAGAAGATCCTGTTTACCTGTCTGGGCAGAAGGCCAGGAGAATCAAGCAGAGAAAAGCCTTTGGGGTGGGTTGTGTCCATGGCATGTGTGAATGGGGTTCAGCAAGGAAGACAGGAAAGTCGTAGGATAGTGAAGGCTAACATCAAATATCTCAAAATATTGTCCCCACACAGGTTCTGAACCCAGGAAGAATTTAAGCTGTTTCATCATGTTTTTGCCTCTTGTAATGCAGTGCCTCCTGATCCTGGGATTCAGACTCAAGACACTCTGTCAGCACATTGATCATTGGTCCCTGATTTTATGGGTCAATTCCAATCCTGATTATTCTGGTCTTGTAGGTTTTAAACATCAAACCTAAGTATCCTGGAAAGTTCAGTGGTATGCATTACTTGGACAAATGTCTCAAATCATATCTCAATTTCTTACACCTGATTATTTCATAGCACCTCTGACCCATGTCCTGGTTTACACCCTGCACCTCCATGCTTTGTGCCTTCTGCCACTCAAGGTCAGATTGTTTAGATTAATGCAACATTTCCTCCAAACACAGAAGCAGTTACAGCATCCTTTTTCTGTGAAGATGCACTTGTAA